TGGCAACTATATTCAACCTTAGTTTGCAGAAAAGCATGCTCAGGTAAATTTGGCTTCAGCACATCCAAAAGGAAAGCAGTAGCTTCTCGGATCAGGTTTCTCTGAATATGCAAAATACATAAATTAGCCACTTGTTAATGGTCATGCGCTGTATACAGGAGTAGAAGTAATGAACACAAATTTATACTTGTTCACCTACCTGAAGAAAAAGATCAGTGATGGTGTTGTAGTCAACCGGACAACCTCCTTCCATTTGAGACATCATTAATGCAAAATTTACTGCTCCCTGAATATTGCAGATAAAAGATTATTGATTTCAATACAGGGGAAAATATTTTTGCATCTGAAAGACTTTATAGCTTAATACAGTAGGAAATATTTTTTGCGTTCTATAATAACGTCAGATCAAAATTATTCAACAAGAAGTTAACTGATATGACTCTTCTTGTGCTTACTCAGAAAATATCTAGTAAACCAGTTCTTTAAGAACTTGATATGTTGCAAGTATCATCAACAGTGCACCACACTAACCTGAGGATCCGTACGCAGTATGGTTTGCAGAAGAAACAGGTAATCAGGTGTGTACCCAACCTAAATTCACAATATGAAACAATGATTCTTCTTGAGCACAATGAACTTTAGGGTAAGCATAACAGGAGCAAGCAGACTTTAGGTATTATTATTTACCTGCTTTGAGTAAATCAGTATTTTGTCAAACTCCCTTCTTTCTGCAAAAGCTGCTACAACTTTTGGAGTTGCCCGGGCTTTGATGTATATTTTCAGAGCAAGGTCATTATCCACAGTCTGGAAAAGAAAGTTGATCGTCACAACATAACTAAGGAGACATATCACATTTTAAAGGAAAATAGTCCATTTTCAGATTACCTTGACAAGGTCTCCAAGTTCTTCACTGCATTCTAACTTATCCTCTGCTAACCAGTTTTCCAGGAGGTTCTTCTTGTTTTGATTCACAACAAGCCGAGACAGTTCCAGTGACTCATATGCATTTAGCTTCCCTTTAGTCAAAAGAGTCCCAAAATACTGTAACAACGGAGGAGTTTGCCCAGCTTGAACAGGAACACTCTGCAAAAATTATATAGTAAGATGTTGTAGTTTCAGGTTGGTGTTACCTAGAATTTAAATATAGATAAACATATTCACAAAAGATTAGTTGCTTGAATAAGATATAAATACCTGGAATTTAGCCACCGTATCAGGTGTCCTAAGAATTCCTTGAGGGGATTCAGCAGCAAGCTCAGCAGCCTCCTTGTACTTTGTTTGGGCAAACAGCTCTTGGAAACGCTGGACAACCTGCAGCATCGAAACTGAATATTAGAAACTTCACATTGCCAAATAACTTTCTTTTTCTTCAAGCTGGCATCCCTCGGAGAGAATTACTCCAGCAAGATAACAGATCCAAGATAAACATCGCATACCAGATTTTCTGCACCAGGGAGGTTTCCTCTTTTAGCAAGATTTACAGCTAGCTCCAAATTGTTCAACTGTGATAAGCAAAGTATTCTTTAGCATGACATAATGACACGGGGTAGCTTATATCGGCAAAAACGGAATAAAAGTTAAACATACTTGACCACTAATAAAAGGTATTATGGTGGCCTCGTTTACTGTAGCTAAAAGAACTTGTCCTCGCCTATTAATGGCATAGAAACCTCCAACCGAGGAAGCTTCAGAAGTCAAGAAAATTGGGTCTGGACTTATCCGATTTCTGTATACAGCAGAAGCAGACTCTAGATCGTATACAAACAATAAGCCAAGCTTAGTGATGACATATATCAAGCTAAATTTGTGAGAGATCTGTCAGGAAAAAGAGAATTCAGTGTCAAGAAATTTTCACCAAAACTAACTGAATGTAACTGAAATTCTTATACAACAACAGACCTGCATGGCAACAGGAAAATCATCTGCAAAATCTGGCGGGAAAAAGAGATCTGCTTGTTTTTTTGTAAATGATGGTTTTCCTGAAAAATAATCACCCACATTCAGACATCAGATGAAGATTGTAAGCAAAGGCACTAATTAACGGCGACAATATAGTTTTCTGCCGAAGATGCTCACCGGGTTGGGCACCAAGCTCAATGACATGCAACTTCGATGTTATCTGCCCAGCGTTAAAGCTCTTGTTTGCAAAGGATATAAGAATAGAAGGATTCTCGTTCCCAGGGACCTAATATTAATAATGTTGCAAGTCATATTACAGTTCAAAACTAGACCTCAGAATGAGCTCAGAAAAGAACCAAGTAGTTTACCTTAAACTGAGCAAATGACGCAGCATGTGCGTCAAGGGCCTGGCTCTTCTGTTGATCCACAGAATAAAGCTGCATATTTCCTTTTACCAATTGTGCTCTCTACAGAAGATAATAATGACAAGATCAGTCAAGAATTTAAAACATGACTGCAGTTTTTATGTCTTTATTTAACCTAGTATGAGGCGCAGTAAACCTACCTCAGGAGAGCCAGGCGCAATTCCAATTAAAACCAGCCACTTCTCGTTAGGAGAGCACTTATAGTTTATAATTTGATTGTTTGCCAAATTGGCCGTTCTGTCAAACATCTTAACTGGCTCAGAATCACCTGGGAAAACATCGAAGCAAAATTAGAATCACATATACATGAAAAGAAGAAGAGGACAGTATGCTAAAGATATAGAACCTTCAATTGACCAATGATACACGGAATTTTGTGTGACTAGCCCCAACATCTTTGGTGTAATCCACTTCCAAAAGACAACCTATAAAAAGAATGAAAGATTAAGAATATCCCAGAAATAAAACCCAGGACGAAAGAATCATTGTCTGAATAAAGTCTACAACAGGAAAGATAATGGGGTTACAAAATCTATGCATCAAAACTCACCTGCTCAGGCATCTGATGAGATTTCAACTTTGCTTTTGCTTCAATGTTAAATATCTGTAGATGATCCTGAGTAGTTCCTGGAACTTGAGCTATATACAAAATTGAAAGAAAAAAGTGATAAACAAAGTATGGAAGAAAAAAAAGTAATAGCCAGTACAAGGAAACATCTACTACAAACAAGATTCCTAGTCTAGCTATGCAAGGCGTGAGACACAACAGAAGCACGGGAAAAATAACACATGTCGGAATAGATATTGTTAGTGGTTTGTATGCCACTGGATTGCACTGATAATAAGCTCCATGAGGGTAGTATACGTGACAGTAGTGACTCATTACAACATGAATAGATATACTGCTACAAACAAAAACTAAGACTGGCTTGTTTATACTTGTATATCATGTGGATTCAAGATGTTCTCCTATCCGAAGGCCTGAATAAAAGTTGAGTATCCGAAATATATAGCATGTGAGGTTAACAAAACAAAGAAGGAGTTGCCAATGGTAGTTCTAATAAGAAAACTTTATAACTGATAAGCACAGCGCAAGCTATTCCTCTAGAATGAAGAGTCAAATATACCTTTTAAGGCAAGGATCCTGGAGTTTGGGTTCATAAGAGCAGAATCTGCAGTAATAGGCCTCCTTAGAGGCTGCATCGGCATATTCATATCTATGATTACAACACTGTTTTGTGGTGCTGTTTCTCGTACGCATATGTACTTGTCAGACTCCATAGTAACATTTGTAAACGTGATGAATTGCTGATTGATCCCAATGCTCGGAAGCTGGACAAAAAATCAAAACACCAAGCGTTATGTCACATTGCTCAATTACTTAGTAACGAGATCCGAGTGTATCATCGCATTGCAGTACACAGTAACTTGAAATTCGGGATCGTATAACAGATCTGGGCATATATAGAGAAATCTGATCGAAAACATGCATTACACAGACTAGCCATCCGGAAAAACTAGATAGCAACGCAACGATCGAGCAGAATTCGGAATAGTTTGAAACTTGAATCAAACAAACAACAGTCTGAGCCGAGCTTAATCATCAGAAAATAATAGAGTGGAGAGCTACGAAAAACGTCGTCATAAATCGACCAAAATCAAGCTCGATTCCACGAGAAGAAGAACTCACCGTCAGGACCTCCTTCATCGTGATGGGGGCGTTTGCTGCCGCCATGTTTGACCTCGGATCGCGGCAAGTGAATCCGGGGGCAGAATCAGATCCGTGGCCGGGACGAGAGCGTCAACGGCCAGGAGAGAGAGAGAAAAAGAAGCGAGGCGATAGAGGCTGAATAAGGAATTGAAATCAGTGCCAGATCTGAGTCTAAGTGAAGGAGAAAGGGAGAAAACAGGAAAAACGAAAAAAGGGAAGAGATTCTTCGTATATAAGTAATGACGAGAAGCGATCCAATCGGAGCCACGCGTCTATAACATACGGTGGAAAGGAAAGTTGAGGAATGATGCGCTTTTGCTAATTAACGGGTGATTATCATTATTGATAAATTAAGTAGCTACATAATTAGTTGTAGATGTTTAAAAGATTGTTCCTAGTGAGGAGTCTATCGTCTACTTGCAACATGCCGAAATGTTAAGACTTTCAAGTGCGTAATTGGCAGATGAATCGCATAAACAAGCCAACGACGGTTCACGGTTGTTGAAGGGAGTTAAAATAGATCATGGTTCGAGTTAATTAGTACTAATATAATCAAATACAATAGTTAATCTCCTCCAGCTGCATACATTCGTGAACCCAAAGCAATATATTGCCCATTCTACTTGATCTTTTTTAAAAAGTGTTTAGAATGAATGTTTATCACGAAGTTTTTTTAATCGTTTTTTTATATTTTGTAGCAAGAACGATGCAAATGTACTTATGTCATACTCCACGTAGCAAGAAGTAAGTCATAACATTGGAATCTGAAACTGGAACAATAGTTTTAGACTATTCTACCAAAATTCACTTTTAATAGAAGAAAACAGGATTAGAGATGTTTAATTTTGGGATTTAATATAATTTCGGTTTAAGCTATTCGGTATTTTGTATATCTCCACTTGAGACAATACCAAATCAAAACAGATTATGAATCAGTTTGGTGCGGTTGTGGTTCAAGTTTCAGTCTGAAAACCAATTGGTCTCAGATTTTTTTCTAATCGGAATGGGAACATTCTCATGCTTTTCACAAAAGCGTAGAAGCGACGAAATGTTTTAATTGGTGGTTTCCTAAAAACGTAAAGTTGTCTTCCGTGGACAAAGATGGGGAAAGTAGTAAGAAGGAAGAAATCCCAATTTTTAAACACAACAATTAAGAGAGGAGAAGAGATGATTTGATAACTATAAAAATAGGGTTCAAATTTATAGATTAGATCTCAGAATCAGACAGCTTCCTCATTCTAATCAATTTGTTTTTTTTTTTTTTTTTTGGTTCTAACCAATTCGCTGAGCTCGCCATGAAATCGACGATGCACCACCACAGAGCTCCACTGATTTCTGCTTCTTCATCTTCTTCCTCTTCTTCCCCAAGCCACTCTTTTATCTCCAGGCTTCTTCTTCTGTTGACTTTACTTCCGGTCTCCCTTGCCTGTCTCGCCTTCATCCTCCAATGGCGAGGCGGAGGGCTTGCCGATCCTGCCTCTGCTTCTGTTGGTTCCTCTACGGCGGTTCCTGGCGGCTCCGATCTCAACCACGAGGTGTTTCCCGGCATGGAGACTGTTTCCTCCGTCTCCCCGAAAGCTCACCAGTCCTCCTCCGACTGCTCAAATCTAGCTCGAAGCTCTTCCCCTTCCTTTCCTTACTATGGTGATTGGAAGTTCGGTGTTGATACTAGTCTAAAGCCCAAGGTAATCCTAGTTTCCTCTTGATATAAAGTTTCTGGATCCATCTGGACTTCGAATTTCTGTTCTTTTCTACTCTAACTGGGCTCTTGTATTGATCTTCTACTCAAGTCTCAATAACCAAATTGTTCATTCATCAGATCTGTCTTTGGATTTTCACTTTGTAAAGTTATCACTTTTATGATTCGGGCATTGCTGCTTTTACCTCTTATTTACAGATATGTATCACGACTAGCACATCAGCGGGATTGGATCAGATTCTACCATGGATGTTCTACCATAAGGTCCTAGGCGTCTCCACGTTTTTCCTATTCGTAGAAGGGAAAGCTGCTACTCCAAGTATTTCAAAAGTGCTCGAGTCTATTCCTGTGAGTTGAACTGGTTCCATTACTTAGGTTTTTGCTTGTATACCTCCAGCTCTTTAGTCATGTAGGTGTATAATTTATAATTGTATTTGAGGCAAATTATTCTCCATAACATAGTTTGATGTCTCTTCCAGGGGGTTAAGGTAATATACAGGACAAAAGAGCTGGAGGAGAAGCAGGCAAAGAGGTCAGTAAACTATGCCGCTTTGGGAGGCACTAAGCACATGTTTTGTCTTTGTATGCTCTGAGAATTTCTTGCATTGTTGTATCTTCTACTACTGATCAGTTTAGTGTCTTTCTGTTTTTCTCTTCATCAGCCGGATTTGGAATGAGACGTGGCTATCTTCTTTCTTTTATAAGCCCTGCAATTATGAGTTATTTGTCAAACAATCTCTCAACATGGAAATGGCTATCGTCATGGCAAGGGTAAGCATTTTTATTGACCTTCTTTTTGTTGTTTTTTTGTTCACATCTCATGTTATAATTCACTTATTTTGTTTGTTTGTTTGTTTGTTCTTACTAAATATCAGGATGCGAGCATGGATTGGATACTTCATCTTGACACAGATGAGTTAATATACCCAGCAGGTGCTCGTGAGTACTCATTGAGACGGTTGCTTCTTGATGTTCCTCCAAATGTGGATATGGTTATATTTCCAAATTATGTGAGTGTCATGTGATTCACATTTCTGTCATCGCTTATTTTCAGCTAGTTTTGTTGGGGGTGTTAAGAGTTGATCCGAGCTCGGGGATGATTAGTTGTTTTGAATTTTGTTTTTAGGAAAGCAGCGTAGAGCGAGATGATATCAAGGATCCTTTTACAGAGGTATAACTCAGTTTGTTCCTCCTTTTACCTAACAGTAAATAAAATCGAAGAGCTTTAGTGTCAACAATTTCCTTTTGTTTATGTGCGTTCTACTTCTGAGATATGTTTGATGCGAGCAGGTTTCAATGTTCAAGAAGAATTACGATCATCTGCCAAAAGAGACATATTTCGGAATGTACAAAGAAGCAACACGAAACAATCCAAATTACTTCTTGACTTATGGTAACGGCAAATCAGTTGCTCGGGTTCAAGATCACCTCCGACCAAATGGAGCACACAGATGGCATAATTACATGAAAACTCCCAAGTATGTATATCATATATTCAAACATAAGTACATTTTCTATTGGCTGAGGAACATGATAAGACTTGAATTTTAGTCTTTTTATAGAATCATGTAAATGGTATAAGGGAGTTTGCAGTGGAGTGTAGTTACGGCTCACAGCTCATTTATTTATTTTGTTTATGAATCCGAATAACGTATTGTAAATATGAACCTGTGTAGTGAGATCAAACTGGAGGAGGCTGCTGTCTTACACTACACATATGCCAAATTTTCTGACTTAACATCCAGACGTGACCGATGTGGCTGCAAGCCTACAAAAGAAGACGTGAAAAGATGCTTTATGCTGGATTTTGATAGATCTGTAAGCATCTTTTCTTAATATCTCTATAATTCCTCAACCCCATTTCTTAAAACACCTGTGTTTCGATTCCGCTTACTACTTTATGATGCCGTCTGGATGATGAACATTGTAGGCATTTATCATTGCGTCAACAGCAACTGAAGAAGAAATGTTAAGCTGGTAAGAGCCTTAGCTGCAGAATTGAATTCTTTCTTGAGCACTTGTGTGATGGAGAACTTTTGACACTCATTGAACAAGTTGAAAAAGCTAAGATCATGTTTTGGTTTTACAAAAACTAGTCTTGATGCAAGTGTAATGTATCATGTTTAGGTACCGTGAACACGTTGTGTGGGGAGACAAAGAGGTGAAGATGAAACTCCTTAGAAAGGGCATTCTGACTCGCATTTATTCGCCAATGGTAAGAAAAATACACATCAGCTCATTGCATAAATCTCGAGTTCTTGCAAGTCAAGAGTAGAAAGGGTTAATTACTTTTGGTGGTAAATGCAGGTTGTTATACAAGCATTGAAAGAGTCTGGTGTTTTCAGCTCGGTTGTCTCATCAGCTTCAACAAATCTTTCAAAGAAAAAGTTCTTAGCATCAATGCACAAAAGCAACTCATCGAGATCTACAGCATCTGGATCCCTTCCATCAAAGGAAAGCGAGTCTCAGGGTATCTCTGCAAGGCACCTTCTTGGGATTGAATCAGCCGTCCCTCCTTTATCGCCTCCTGGGATGGAACACGCTAGACTTGTCACAGAGGATTAGCAGGTTTTTAGCATCGAGCTGATGTCTTTGCTTCCTCCTACTTACAGAGTGATATTAAAACTCGATGCAATGCTAGTACCTGTGTGGCTAGCTTTAGGAGCGCAAGTGAAGAGAGCGGGTGATCAAATACGGAGAGAGAGAGAGCGAGAGAGACATTCGTTTAAAGATGATCAGGAAAAGCGGGTTTGTATGATTTTATTTTTGTAATATTCTTCCAAATTTGGAGTTGATTTATATAATGTGGAAATATATATATGTTTACTTTGACTTTTGAAAGTCTTCGTTTCAGTTTTAGTGAAAATAGTGAACGAGTGACTCAAAATCATACGATAAAATGCGAAACTGCAATTGTAAATCTGGATGAGTTGGCAACTTGGCATATGTCTAAATATACAGCAATTCGTTCAAATGCATGGTTGATCCAAGACTTTAGTGGAATAGTGGGAACCACAAAATAAACGGTGAGGAATATTATTTTCTGATTATGTAATTATTGTAGCATTATATTTTGGTTCATTGGACAACATGTATACTTTGTATAATAATTTGCTAATGTTAAATCGTTCTCGAATTTATATGATTTGAGGTTTGTCGTCATTGTTTTCTGATTTGCGTTTGTAAAAATGGCTAGGCTTTCAAAACAGATGGTATATTCTAGTGTTGCAATAATAAATCACGAGTTATTCAAAAAGGAGTGACGAAAATAAAAACTCAATTAATCCAAAATTCTTTAAAATCAAACAGTCTAACAAATCCGTTAAACATAAATTATTCAATAAGGAAAAGAAAAAAAGTTGGCGTCAGAATGATATAAAATTTGGTTTAAGGCTCCTGTATCCCTAAGTCTCAAGGGAAGAAAATTTCATCAACATCTCAGTGTCTTGCGAGTCTTAAACCGCAGTTAAAATCGGAAAAGGAGAAAGAAGGCGAACCGATGCTTTAGGCACCACCTGATCCGTACTTCTTACCGAACACAATCAGCTGCAATTTGTCGTAACCGGAGAGCACACCAGCACCTGCGACAGCACGCAGAATGTTGGCACCAGCTCCTTTGAAGAGTGACTTGGCTCCTTCGTTCTTGAGGATCTGAGTGAAGGCGTCCATCGAACTCTTGTACTTGACAGCTTCGCCTGACGTCATCATCATTCTTCTGCGGACTGTGTCAATAGGGTAGGATGCAAGACCCGCACCGTTAGTAATGACCCATCCAAGAGCGAAACTAGCAAAGAAACTGTCCTGAAATGACCAAAAGATAACGAACACAACATGTCAAAACCAGGTCAAAAACCAACCAGCAGTAACTAAGAGAACACACAGATCAGAGAGAGGGAGAGTACGACGAACCTGTAAGTCTCCGGTGAGAAGAACAGGCTTCACAGAGTCATAGAGTCCAAAGTAGAGACCACGGTAGACAATGATACCGACACAGGAGATGTTGAACCCACGGTAAAGACCGGCAACACCATCAGACTTGAGTGTCTTTCTGTAAACGTCCACAAGACCATCGAACTGTCTGCCACCACCTCCTTTCTTTGCAGCCTTGGCGTCATTGGCTAGACGGGTACGGGCATAGTCAAGGGAATACACAAAGAGAAGGGACGAAGCACCAGCAGCTCCTCCAGATGCCAAGTTACCAGCAAACCACTTCCAGTAGCCATCCTTGTCTTTCTTAAAGTTGAAAAGCCTTTTGAAGTAATCTTTGAATGCAAAGTTCAAGGCCTGGCATGGGAAAAAAAAACAAAAAAAAAGGAGATTAGCACAAAACTATTTGGTTGCAAATGGGACAACACAAAGAGAGTATGAAACTCAACCAACCTGAGTGGGGAAGTAACGGATGACATTGGCGGTGTTTCCTCTCCATAGAGAACCAAAGCCTTCATCCTTTATCGTCCTGCCGAAACAGTCACCAATACCCTTGTAGGGCTCAGAAAGCCTGCCGGCTTTAATCATCTCATCCTGGTTCTGAATCAAAAGCTTAACACGCTCAATGGGAGCAGCAGCAGTCTTGGAGACGGCAGCAGAAACACCACCCATCAGAAAATCAAGAGCAAAGTTAGTGAACCCTTTCTCTCCTGGAGCTTGGACAAACACGGGAGAAGCATTTGCTGCCATCAGGGATGTGGGGTCGAGAGGACATTGAAACGCAGCATTGGAGTAGTTTCCATAGGATGATGCATGTCGTTGGTACATCGAAGGCCTCTGGTGACCCACTTGGATGTCCCTAGAAACACTGGAACGTAGGAACTGGCCAGCAGCTTTCTGCGCGACAGAAGAGTGCTGAACTTGATCAACCATTTTGAACTCTGCAACATTTACAATACCATTGATGAGAATTCCAACGTGTGATGAAAGGAAAGCTTTGAAATACAACACAGACATCTCACTTACTAACACAAGTTTATATATTTCATTGCACAGAATAACTCATCCAACAAACCAATTACCCAATCCAAGATTATCGGAAACACAGAGGACATTCCAAAGAGTCTGAGTCAATTAAAACATTCATCATTTGGAGTTTAGATACCATTTTTAAAGCGAAATTGCGAAATCGATTCCTACTTGTATGGTCCAGAGCGAAGAATATAAGAACTTGTAAATTCTATGAACAAAACAGAATCACAATTTTCATTAATGAGGTCGCAAAAACAAATCGGATACATTTTAAACAAATCGACACAAGATAAAAAAAAAACCATTTCAATGATTTAATAACCAGAAGATCAAAGAATCGCACAAAAAAGTAGCAGATCCATATTCCATAGAACCGAAACATTAGGGATTCCATCAGGAGCTGAATACATTCCGATTCTAAAAACAGGCAAGCAAGTATCACCATTTCTCAATAGAACAAACGGATCTAGAAAACGAAACATCTCTCATTCACCTGACAAAACTAAGGGAACGATAAACAGATGGCCTGAGACTAAGAACAACAATGAAATGAGAAACAACGGGAATTTAAAGCGATACAGGTCTAAGAGAGACGACTCTTACCAAAGACAACCGATGGCTGAGCGAAATATCTGGAGGGAGACTCCGCCTTTTTCTCAAGAATAATGAGAGGCGAAGTAAGAGAGGTGAGATTCTCTGTGGTGAAGAGGGCGAGCTTTTAAAAGAGAGATGGTTGCCCTTTTATCGCCTCGAGAAATAGGGTCGCGGGTCGTCACTGACCAGTGAGGATGGGTTAATAATAATCAAACGCAAACAGAAGCATTTGGGTCTTTGCCGCAGCACCGTTGGATCATTCTCTTTATAATCTTAATTCCTTAATAACCGTCGATTTTGTTTACTTTCTTTTACAATAGTTCTTTTGCGATGGTACGACTCTGCTGCTAGCCGTTAGATCCTATCGCTTCTTTTTTTATTGTGCTAGGAATCTGAAACGTCACTTGGGCATCGTTGAGGCAACTCGTGGAGGCCTGGAAAGGTAGCGTGGGATAGTTTTATTTTGCCTGCGATGCTACCATACCGAGTCAGACCAATTTGCAAATTTTATGTCATTTTTTCCTATTTTAAAAAACTTAAATTATACTATGAGATATCTTTCTGTTTAAATTCGATGTGATATTCGCCCATGTGTCCGAATGTTTGTCACTGCCACTCCTTTAACTTCATGTACATCGTTTTGTTATTCTAAACAACCTTTTTAATTCAAAATTATTGTCTGACGAAACAAATACATCAAATATTGTCTTTAACTTGCTTGACACACACGGTTAAAAAAGTATGGCTCCCCAAAAATCACGAGCCTTATTTTATAACACGAGAAAAAAAAAAAAGTAACATAAACCGAATAATAGATTAGAGAGGCTCTCGGGTGGGACTTGTACAGGGAATAAACATCCACACCATCATTACTTGTCGACCACTTCAATCAGACTCGGCTCATAGTCGCCCGGGGCCACAAATCCATGGAGGTTCATCACCGTGGCAGCTACATTCGCAAGCCCAGGTGTCTCCAAATCCTTTCTGAACCTAACTCCTGCTGACAAACCAGGACCTCCTATGGCAATTGGCACCTGCAACGTACATCATGTCGAAAAAAATCACAAAAGACGCAAAAAACCACTTCTGGTAGCACAAAAGCTTCTCATCTTAGTCTAAATCTTTATGATGCTCATTTGCAACTTCCACATTATGGCCATAATAACACAGATAGGCTTTTTTTAGTAGTGGTAAGACTTACCGGTTTCAGGGTGTGAGAGGTGAGGATCTGAAGGTTGCCTTCCTTATCGAGAGCGGGCTTACCAGCTTTGTCCCTTTTAACCATGTCCTCGGCATTTCCGTGATCTGCAGTCACAACATATATCCCTCTCACCTGTTCTATGGCATCGAGAATTGTCTGCAAACCCAGCACCAACAGCACTGGTGAGTCATATTATTACTAAGACTAGTTTCTCACATTACAATGTCAAAGGAATAACTTGAACCATACCCTCACAGCAATATCAGCAGCTTCACAGGCAACAACAGTTGCTTCAATATCACCGGTATGACCCACCATGTCTCCATTTGGCAAGTTAACACGCACCTGAACAAATCATACGAACTACATTCAGAGACAGAATGTTTTAATGGGTTGATACAATATGGTCAGATCATACACCTTACCTGGTCAAACTTGCCACTAAGGATAGCATCCCTTGCCTTCTCAGCAATTTCCAGCGCTTTCATCTTTGGCTGGGCGTTGAATGATATTCCACTATCACTCGGAATCTCAACATACTTTTCTAGCTTCTCGTTGAAATACCCAGAGCGGTTTCCATTCCAGAAGAAGGTAACATGGCCAAACTTAACAGTCTCACTGTTTCAGTAAAATATATGAAGTTTTTTTTAATTGTTCAGCACTCATTCCAAGTATCATACCTCCCCAGAGTATAATCACATCAAGAAAAAGATAGCCAGGACATTTCACCATTTTTAAAAAGCAAGAAACCACATGCGTAAACTAGACCGCTAACGAGCAAGTAGAGATGAGATGTTACTTACTTCACAATTTCATTCCAATTCCAGTTTACTAAAGATTTCCGTACTTAGAGTATACAACATTGTAACTGAGAAAGCAGACACAGAAAGACAATATACCGCCGATGGAAAACAGGAGAATATAAAGAATCAAAAGATTTCAAAAGCTGACCTGCAAGCAAAAGTACGGACGCCATTGTGTGCAAGATATTCACCAGAAGTTCTATCAATCAATGGTGGAGAAACAAGATAGTGGCTAGGAAGCTTTAGCTCTCCATCATACTGGAGCATTCCTGCATAACGTATCTTTGGGACACGTACACGATCAAACTTATCGAAATCTTCATATTCAAGCGCCTTTGCATGCATGACCATTCGATCAGCGCGGAAATTGAAAGTAACAACCGCGTCACCATCAACAATTGGACCCACAGCCTTTCCACTGTCATCAACAATGACAAAAGGAGGCAAATACTGGTCATTGGCACCAGGTTCCGCCCTCAGTGTCTTAACAGCTTCAAGAGCGTTTTTGAACTTGTGGGGAGCTTCTCCAAGGACTTGAGCATCCCACCCTCGTTTAACAACATTCCAATCATTCTGCAAGGGAGGAAATCAGAATTCACCATTAAAGCAAAAGCAGAGAAACTGAAAGCTACGCCTAAATCCATTTCCAAAACCAGACAAAAGAGCTCAGAAGTCCTGGATTCTATATCCTTAAATGACAATGGACTCTCACCTCATAACGGTCCATTGTGACATTCATACGACCTCCACCAGAGGCAACCTGAGCATCAACACCTTTGGAACGTAGCGCAGCGAGGTCAGCTTCAAGAGTCTCCACAAATCCGACACTAGAGCCATCCAAAACATCACGACCATCGGTAAGAATATGGACGCGGATTCTTTTAGCGCCACGTTCTGCGAAACCTTTTAACAGCAACTGCATTTTAAAAAGGAAAAATTAACAAACGCCAGTTATTTCAAACACATTAAAATTTGGAGGTGTGAAAAAAAAAACAGAATTGGGTACCTGCACTTGATCGAGGCGTGAGTGGACTCCACCGTCGCTTAAAAGTCCGATAAGGTGAACGGTGCCTTTCTCGAAAGATTCGGAAATGTATTTGAAACCTTCATCTTCGTAGATTTTCCCTGAAGCAAGGGCGAGATCGACAAGCTTCGCACCCTGAGCGTAGATTCGACCGGCTCCGAGAGCATTGTGACCAACTTCGCTGTTTCCCATGTCGTCTTCGCTGGGGAGACCAACGGCTGTGCCATGGGCTTTGATTAGCCTCCACGTATCGGGTTTTCCCTATGGAGAATCAAACCGTATAATCAGAATCTAGAGGAAATCATCGAGAAATATAGGGGAAAACAAAGGAAAGAAGAACGAAACATACGTTTTTAAGGGAATCCATGGCAGGAGTTGGAGCTTTGTGGATGCAATTGTATTGATCAGGTTCAGATTCACCCCATCCATCGAGGACAATTAAGCCGATGGTTTTGCCCTTGGGGAGCTTGGGGTGGTCCTCAAGTTTCCAGTTAACGTCGCCGGAGCTACACATAGCTGGATTCAGATCCACTCGGCGATGAGAAATCAAAGGTAAAAGGAACAGATCTGAGAAGTGCGAGGCAGAGAAAAACGGAAGCTTACCAGCGGAGAAACAGAGAAAAGCTCAGAGAGTCGTATGGAGATTCGCAGAGACGAAGAGGTGATGTGGTGAGGTATGGTAGGTTGAAGCTAACACTGACACACAATATGAGGTTTTTAAACGAGAAGGTTCGTGATGACGTGGTGAGCTTAAAATGGGCTTTGCCTTTGGGCTCACGTTAACATTTTTCAAGCCCTTATCAAAGCGAATGTTCTAGTTTACTTTGTCACGAAGGTAAGCGATCATGTGACGATGCGACATGTAAGAGTTGGATACAAATTTACAAATTTTAATTCTATATGATTCAACGACTTCTGTTAACATTTATTTTATCATTGGACGGTAAATGCTGTAACATTTTTCTCTTTCATAATTTATGATGCATGATCATTAGTTGGTGAATAAATTACCAAATCGATGATAAAATAAATTACTAAATAAAAAATAGGCTATAAATTTAAAATGATCAAATAAAGTTTATATTTTCTTCTTTTATAGCTTTAAGCCACTATTTTAATTGGACCGGGCCTGGATATGACCATTGACCATGCTTCTAAATACTAGATGGATGTTACTAGGTTTAATTAGATGGATCTTGTTCGATTCAACGAAATGATGGCTATCGGACGATTAGACCGAACCTAGAATGTGAGGTCTATGCCAACATGCAATATCTAGAATGTTTTTTTTTTGTTGTTGGTCAAAGCAATATCTAGAAGGTATCTACAACAACTCTTAGATTTTCTTTAAGCATATTATAATACAAATTCTTCAACAGACAATAATTACCATTTATCACAAGGACCATAGTAAAACAGTTCAATCTCTACTGTAATCTTTTAAAAAGTTCGAAATCATAAAAACGGAAGTTCATACATGGTAGGAACGTCCACTAGTCCCGGTCAAAGTCTCAATGTAGCGTATTAAATGCCATATCGGGTTTTAATTATCAGCAAATGAAGAAAGAAAATCATAAGGCAAGAAAACTCTGACTATTGGAACAAAAATATTAATCGAGATGAGCAATTGAGTTGAGCAGCATATTACTAACGTTTCAAAAAATCGATCACTTGGTTCCAAATATTATTACTAAAGTGCAAGATGACTTTCTTTCATCATAAGGTTCGTAATGGGCTAGTTAATAGTTTCGTTTATGGGCCGCAGACACTATGTTAGGAGCTCAGTAAGTCCACATATTCATGGTTTCATAAGCCTGAAACTAATTGTCGCAGTTAGACCTACAATTTGAGTTTTGGTCAAAGTAGATTGGGCTATAGGATAAGGAAAGTATTTTTGTTTTGATTTGTATTTTTTTGGATAATGAGGGTATAAAAGTAGTTTTATACGGTTTATATGAAAAAGATACTACAGATACAGATAACAAAATAGGGTAGACGGACAACTGTTACGGCGAAATTGAATGCCGCAATGTATCAGTATGATTGGTGGAAAAGAAAAGTAAAAAAAAGATATGAATGAGAAGCATATTTTATGGAAAATTATTACTATTATTTATTTTTAGTTTAATGGGAAAGGAGAAAAATCAGATGAACAGGCTGTATAATTTTGTGAACAAATGGGACTGACGACAACACTCTTCTTCTCCTTTTTGTCCTTTTGGCTCTCTCTCTCTTTCTCTCTCTTTCTCTTCTCTCTCTTTTCCACCGGCGACCATTAATCCTCTCTTCTCCGTTTCCCATTGCTGCTGCTGCTAACCCTCATTCCTCGATTTGTTTCTTCTCTCCCCCAATTCTCTCCTTTTGCTTTGAAAGCTAACACCAAATTTCAATTTTTGCCCTTTTTGAAGTCTTCACACTCAGACGTGACGGCGACTTTATACTGAGTCTCACGGCTTTGACTCGCCCTGGGGATTTTTGCTCCAGAGGCGAAGAAGAAGAATCACCCCAACAATGGGGGTTCTCTGTTGTCTCCAGGTGCTTCTGTTTCTCTCTCTCTGCTCCCATCGTCTTCAGAAGCTCTCTGCTCAGACTCCTCCGACCAATGCGACACCTTCTTCTCTCGACGCCCTTCTCCAAGATTACTCTTTCAGAGCCTTCGTTCGTCCTCGCACCGGCATTCTCTACGAAGGCACTGTTCCTTCCAATTTGACTGGGATCAAAGTTGCAGCCATGAGACTCAGAAGCGGGAGCTTGAGAAAACATGGAGTGCCTTCGCTTAAGGAGTTCTCAATTCCTACCGGCGTCATCGTGAAACCGTATGTGACAAGGCTCGTCCTGGTCTATCAAAACCTAGCCAATTTCTCTCAGTTGTACTACCCTTTGCCTGGCTACGACTATGTGGCCCCTGTGCTGGGTCTCCTCGCTTACGATGCTAAGAATCTCTCCGCGATTAATCTGCCGGAGCTGGATTTTAGGGTAACTAAAGATCCCATCAGGATCGATTTCTCTGATCTGGAACGAATCCCACAAGGGTCTAGTGCCAAGTGCGTCAGCTTCGATTCGCAGGGCAAAGCGAGTTTCAGCGAGTCGATTCAGCCTGGAAACACATGCGAGACCGAGCGTCAGGGGCATTTCTCGGTGGTGGTGAAATCTGTGGCCTCTGCTCCGAGTCCAGCTCCTCCGCCGACTGAGAAAAGGAAGGAGAAGAGCTCCGAGTCCAATTCCAGGACTTGGATTATCGTTGGGTCAGTGGTAGGTGGATTGATACTGTTGGGGCTTTTGCTGTTTCTGGTTCTGCGGTGTCGGAACTACAAGAAGCAAGAGAAAATGAGGGAGATGGAGAGAGCTGGAGAGACAGGGGAAGCTCTTAGGATGACTCAGGTCGGAGAGACAAGAGCACCGACTGCTACCACGACTCGGACACAACCCATGCTTGAAACCGAATACGCTTCTTAGAGAAACTTTTGTTTGCGTTTGTGTACATCATCATCATCATCATCGTCATCTTCTCCATCTTGATCATCTGTTACTGTCTTCTTCTTTTTTCCCTCAATTATTTTTCTTTTGGTAAAGTGTTTTCTGATTATTTTTTCGTTGTGGTTAGCAAGTTGAAACTCCATTCATCTTGTTTCTCTACGGGTGATTAAGGAAATAAGTATAATTGTTTTTTTTTCTTTGTGCTCTCGAATCACACAAACTTTGGTGGAAGATATGGATTGTTTTCTGGAGTACACTCACTTTGTTGTTGTCTTTCTAACTACTTTTGCTGTAAAGCTATAATCTTTTTTGTAATGGTGTCAAACACCTGTTGTTTAACAAGCAGTCAGCTTCAGAAGATGATGCTCATGAATATTATCAATCCTCAAACTTTGAGTTTAGCAATTCCTCAAAAGGTACTAGAGTGCCCTTGAGATTCAAGTGTTTAGTTGTAGCTATGAGCTTCATGCAACTTGTTCATCCTAACCATGACTCTTACTAAAATATGATGACCCAATGAGGAAATAGACTTGGAATCAAAGAGCTAAAACACCATGGAGAATTTGATTGTATCTGTAGAGTTCCACTTTCTTTCTTTATAGTGTTTTTTCTCTCTCTGTTCTCTTGAGAAGTAGCCTGCATTGGAGGCCCCATGTTTACCATAGAATCTGTCTCATGAGAGAAAATTTATGTTATTCATCTCTGGAGTTGTCTTGCTTGCTCTTCATAAGACAAGTCAGCGAGGTCATTGCATGTTTTTTAATCTACAAATCTTTGCTCTGACCAGACTTTGAAAAACGAATCAAAAATGTGAAATATGACTGGATTAGCCTGGCTTGAGCCTTCTTGTGCTATGATGCACATCTTCATATCAAGAAACATGTCATACTACAGTGTTAAATTGTGGCATTGTTATACGTTCTCTGACTTCTGCAGTTTATCAGGAGATTCTTAATCGGTCAGGATTTTTGGTGTCTCATCATTGCTAAATCTTAATGTCTGGATTTGGAAAAGAAGAAAAAGTGCATGATATAAAATGCTGTTGTATTAATTGTGTTTTAAGGACATCCAACAAATAATTGCGTGTTTGGCCAAAAAAGAGAAAAGAAACTATTGTTGTAGAATATCACGTCTCTTTTCTTCTCTGTCTGGAATTTTGGTTGAATGGACGAGAAAGCTAAAAAGGCATTCTCCACATCAAAGCGAAGTCTCAACGGTAAAATAAAAACAAGCTTCGATTTCACTAAAGAGCAAAAGAGATTCCTCTTTTAGGATTGGTCTTTTCTGTTTTCCCCTGCTCATATTCAGTTGTGGTTAATCGAATCCTATAGACAATGGAAGGTGTTCTAAAACTGTCATCATCTATTGTTGTGTACCAGTTAAAACGATAAGAAAGATTCAGTTACAGAATTTATCAGTGCGCATGAAAAAGAAGATTATCTCTCTCTTTATGCTCTCTGCTTCAGGAGCTGCAATTTGGCTAAATCGGGTGTCGTTTTAAGGAGAAATCAGAAGTTATACTACGAAGTCGTTTTAGTTGGCCTGAAACAAAAATTCCTCGGCACAAAGTAAAAAAAAAAAAGGGGGTTTTGGTTACAAGAGTGGACCATTTCGAAGAAGAATTAAGAGATGAGCCCACTTGAAAGGGACATAGCGAGGGGACCCCATGTGAATCTGCAAGCAGAGACAGAGGCTTTGACCGACCTCATTCATCATCCTCCATTATTAGCCAGAATCATAAAACCATGTGATTCATCATCACAAGCTTCATTCGACTCAATGTATCTTCAAAATCTCCCCTTTCTATTCTAAACTACTAACACACACACTCTGTACAATGTAGATCCTAACCGCAACAAAACGGTCATTCCTTTTTTTTATTCGAACTGTCAAGTATTCAATGAGCCATCTTTCAAGAAGAATGTAGTTGTAAACCAAACCTCAGGAAACATAACAGCATGTATCACACAAACAAATACAGAAAAGCTCAAAACCAAATGTCATTACGGTCTGAAAGCAGGAAAAAATGTCTTTTTAAAGCTTGATCAAACGGGAATAACAGTGTACTATACTCTCCAGCTTCTTCTTCTTCTGGAATGATACACTTTATTTGTGACCCCAAGTATTCACCTTAAGCCCCTACAGAACATCAACATGTTACTTAGAGTTATATCGGAAGCCAAAACGATAAACAGAAAGCAACAGCTACATCATCACATGGCAAAGAAATAAGAACAGCTACAAAAAAAATTATCAATTAATCAACCATCAAGGATCTCTCATTCATTCCTAGACAGGACCAAAATAAAAAGCCACCATTCACAAGCTTCAAGAGGCAGAGAACTAAGCGGAAGTGCCTAAGATCGAAAGCAGAGTAGCAATACCATCGATATACAAGACGAGTGGACTAATAAAGAGCACAGAGAAGACGGATCGAATAAGAATTATAGAGAAGGAACACAGACCTACCTGAGGAACAAAAGCAAGAAAACGGATCATGAGGAAGGAGCTGCGGCTTTCTCGACGACTTTCTTGTCGCGTCTCTCCATAGCAACATCCCATTCATCGTGGCCGATGTGCTTCGGCTGCGAAATCCCAAACTTGAAATCATCAAACCAAATGCTGAGTGAATTACCCAAATTCGAATAATTTGGGATCCAAACGGATCAAATCGTGAAAACCCTAGGAGAGAGAGAGAGAGACGCAATGAAAGAAAAAAGGGGGAAAAATCATACACGGCCATGATAAGCTTTGTGGATGTAGTACTGGGAGTTTCCCATAATGCAGAGCATCCCTCCGATGATTCCGAGAGGCAGAGCCGCTTCTAGCCACACCAAAGACATCTTCTTCTTCTTCGTCTTCTCCTTCCTTCGATTGTGCTTCTCTCTCTATTAAAATTAAGGATCCAAAGCTAACCAACAAATGATTTGAGAGTTTTAGACCACCACTCGACAATTGCAAAATCAAATGGGCCTTTTGGGCTCTTTGTTTAAATAAAACGTAAATATTAAAGCCCAATGTATCTAAATCGAGGCATTATTTGTTTCTTTTCAAAATGGATACATCATACAAGGTCTCGGTGGAGACAACTCGAGAAACCAAATTTGGTACATGTAAATTGCGTGAAGACAGTGGAGCAAATCCCTTTGCCATGTCTGGTCTGTACAATCCCAGCTTCTCACCTTCTAGAGCCGCTTCTCCCCAGATTAGAAGCACCTCCGATGTCGACAGGTACTTCTTCTTCCACGACTTCTCCTCGCTCTCCTCTGCCTTCTTCAGTGAACTATTGTAAACATCTTATGTCTCTGATTACGTCTCTGTCTTTGCTCATCTTCTGCAGTCAGTACTTATCTCAGTTGTTAGCAGAGCATCAAAAGCTTGGACCTTTCATGCAAGTCTTACCCATATGTAGCCGACTCTTAAATCAAGGTACTCACTCTTGTCATTTCTCTTCCCTCTTAGATCTACTATTTCCTGTTAGGATCTACTCACCAATGAAGATAGTCAGTAGATTTTTATTTGGCTTTTGCTTTGATAGCTTATGAAGGCTTTACTAGCTTTTTGTAGTATAGTTCCCATCTTTGTAAACTAGATTCAGGCATCAAATTGAAGAATAGGTGATTTAGGGAAAATTAAGCTGGCTGCTACATATTCACAGTCCCAGTTTGTGATCTGATCTCTGTTTGATTAATTTTGTTAGTCCTAAAGTATATGTTTTGCTGTCTACTGCCATTGCTTCTTACTCTGGCTTTGATTGGTATCATGACATTATTTTGTTTTTTTTTGTTGTTGTCCAGAGATTTTCCGGGTTAGTGGAATGATGTCGAACCAAGGGTTTACCGATTTTGATAGGTTGAGGCATCGAAGCCCTAGTCCAATGGCTTCACCGAATCATATGTCTAATGTTCCTGGTGCTGGATTAGGTGGTTGGAATGGTCTGCCTCCAGAGGTAGGCAAAATTCTGTGTTTGTTCAAGTATCGTCCTTTTCATTTCCAGCTACTCTCATTTTAGAACTCTAAAAAGTGTAACCTTTTTTAAATTTCGTGTAGAGGATAGGTGGTCCTCATGGAATGGCAATGGAGTGGCAAGGTGCACCTGCTAGCCCAAGTTCATACACAGTGAAGCGTATCTTGCGTTTAGATCTTCCTGTTGATACATTTCCAAATGTGAGTTTTCTCGGTTTTCATTTTTTTGTTTAAGACACTGAAATTTGGGTGAAAAAAGTATCAACTGATAGTCTTTTGATTTTGGATGTTAGTTCAATTTTGTTGGAAGGCTTCTGGGTCCTAGAGGGAACTCGTTGAAGCGTGTGGAAGCAACTACAGGTTGCCGTGTGTTTATTAGAGGGAAAGGATCAATTAAGGACCCTGACAAAGTAAGAGATGCCTACATTTTCCTCTGTTTCCTAATCGTCTTTTTTTTTTTTGAATTTTGCTCAACTTTTGCTTTGATAATGTTTGGCGCCAGGAAGAGAAACTGAAAGGGAAGCCTGGATATGAGCATCTCAATGAGCAGCTGCATATCCTCATTGAGGCTGATCTTCCTGCTGATATTGTGGACATAAAGCTGCGGCAGGCCCAAGAAATCATCGAGGAGTTGGTCAAGCCTGTGGTATGTGCCTTTAAACAAACTTCTTCTCGGGTTTATTATTTTAGAATGGCCACATTAAGTCTATTCTATTCAGACAACTTCATGTCTCCCACACAATTTTGCAGGATGAGTCACAGGATTACATAAAGAGGCAGCAGCTGCGAGAGCTCGCTTTGCTGAATTCAAACTTGAGAGAAAACAGTCCAGGTCCGAGCGGTAGTAGCTCTCCTTTTAACTCAAACGCAATGAAACGCCCAAAAACGGGACGCTAAGAGAGCAATGAGGTACCGATAGAAGTATTGTGTGTAAATGTGTATAACTGGTCTAATGGTGTTGGTTGCGTCTCTTGGTTCTTCTGCTTTTGCCTCTCTGATCCACATTGATTCTTAAAGCACAGAGCACCAAGAGAAAGCCCAACAGTTTCTCTCAATGCTTTCCTCCTAAACCGGGGAAAACATTAAAGCCAAAAAGCAAAAAAACTGTGGAAGTAGCGTTAGATGGTTGATGCGTTGTAACCATTAAGATAGATTGTTTGGATTTATTCATCATGTGTTGAATTTGTAGTATTCTTGATTTTGGAATGGACATCTAATTACATGTACTCCATGTTTTGGGAAGCAACAAGTTTTTGTCTTTTTCGGTAAGCAAGTTGAGACCAAACAACAGGTTCGTTATGTTAGTCCTAGGTAAAGCTTGTCTCTTTTCGTAAAAAAAAAAATGTGAATCCCAAAAAAGAAAAATCAACAACGGTGTGGTGTGGTGGGTGAAAGTAGTTGGTGAAGTAGTTTAGTGATGTGGCACGTGGCGCTCAGATTCAGGTTTAGTTTCGCAGGGCGGGAAGTGGGGCCCGATTGATTTTGATTGTTGTTTTGGTTTTGTTAAAAAAAGAAAGGGTTTTTAAAGATGGACGAGATCCTATTTTCGCCAGAGTTTCTCTGTCTGCCCGCCGTGATTCCCATCTAAGATCTCAGATCTCAGATCTCTCAGGCCTAACTTGTCCATTTTCGAAGCGATTCGTTTGAGAAGATGGCGGCGATCGCGCGGCTTCATTTGTCTGCGAAATCGAATCAGAGCAGTCTGCCATCGCCTAGAGTGATCAACCTCTCGCGCGTTCCAAGGACTGCTGTCTCGTTTCCACGATATGGATCGGTTTGTTCACTCCACACCAACTTCTCTTCTCCAAACCTCGGGGTCCCTTGCGCCGGAGGTGGTGGTGGAAACTTCGGTAATCCAGGTTCGGGCGGTAGAAGCGGAGGAAGAGGAGGCGGTGGTTATGGAGATTCAGGCGGTGAAGAAGACAAGGAAGAATGGTCTCCATGGGGACCAATAGGGATGTTCATCCAAGGATGGAGATCGCGAGTTGCAGCTGATCCTCAGTTCCCATTCAAGGTACTCATGGAAGAGCTTGTTGGAGTTAGCGCCAATGTACTTGGAGACATGGCGTCACGCCCGAACTTCGGATTGAACGAGCTCGATTTCGTCTTCTCCACGCTCGTTGTAGGTTCGATCCTGAATTTCACACTCATGTACCTCTTAGCTCCCACTGCAGTATCTGCTGGCTCCTCCAGTCTATTGCCTGGAATCTTTAGGAGCTGTCCTGCGAGTCACATGTTCGAACAGGGAAGCTTCACCGTCATGAACCGTTTTGGGACTCTTGTATACAAAGGGATGGTGTTTGCCACCGTGGGATTAGCTGCAGGTCTTGTGGGAACCGCCATCTCTAACGGGTTGATCATCCTGAGGAAGAAGATGGACCCGACCTTCGAAACGCCCAACAAACCACCACCGACGCTGCTGAATTCACTAACTTGGGCAGCTCATATGGGAGTGAGCGCCAACGTGAGGTACCAGACGTTGAATGGGGCTGAGTTCTTGATGGAGAAGGGGTTGCCGCCATTGGTGTTTAAGACAGGTGTGGTGGCTTTGAGGGTTGTGAACAATCTTTTGGGTGGAATGTCGTTTGTTGTATTGGCGAGGATGACTGGATCACAGTCGGTGGTGGAGGAGAAGGCAGAAATCTCAGTGGAGGAGAAAGATGATTGAGTCTTTCCTCTTACAGAGTATTTTTTTTGGTTCCTCTGTTATTTCTGCTGTTGATAGGTAACAAGGCACAAGAGGCATCTTCTTGAGTTGAAACCTTTTTCACGTTCTTACTTACAGAAGCAGAAGACATTGTTCTTGTATGTGTTGGATTAAATAAAGACAAATCCCTTCTTAGGTCAATTCTTAATAAGGATTTCTTATACTTCTATGTCATTGTTAGGGCCAGTAGTTCTACTGCCAAGTTTGCTGTTTTCTTTATCAACAACATAACGAAGAAAGATAAGTTCAATAACAAATTATTATTACTCACTACGAAGGTTGAATGATTTACTTTTCGGAGCCGTCGAATGACATGTAGATTCTACCAGAGTGTGATTGAATCTGAACCTCATTCAGCTATCAGGTCTATTCATGTAAAGAAATTCTGCGGAGTCTAAAACTCTAAAACAACAGGGTTGTTGCTGTCAAATGTTGTACCACATTCCCAGTTACAACTTACAACTATCAACCATCACTATTTAGCCTTCTAACAGCAAATAATTGCCAGTTAGTATCATATCATAGAAACCTCCTAGACCTTGTATTTATTTTGATCAAATCCAAATCCCGTCTTCTCGCGTTCTCAGAATCTCCCGCCGATGAACAAAGAAGCATAGATTAGAGATTACTCGTCGGCGGAGAGAGAAAGCAACAAGAAGATCTGATTTTGCTAGTGTAAATTTTGCCGGATTGTTATTATTCTTTGAGTCAATGAACTTGAGGTGAAAGAAAAAAACATTTCTTATTAGTCTTTAGCTTTTTTGGTTGTTAGTTCAGTTTTGTTGGAACGCTTCTCGTGTTCTAGAGGAAACAATACAAAAGCATCGCACTTTCAATTCAAATGCAATGAAACGCCCCCAAAACGTTTGGATTCATTCATTAGCGGTTTATATAATATAATTTTTATGTAGTTGTGACAAAGCTCCCAGACTTCCAGTTTCGTACTTTCGTCTTCAAAAGTAACTATTGGAAAGTGCAATGCTTTTGTTCGGTCGGAAAAAAAAGAAGTTGATCGCAGTAAAAGAAAAATCAGCAGTGGTGGTGGCCTGGTGGGTCAGGTCAACATGCTTGTGTTGGTGAAGTAGTTGAGTGTTGTGGCACGTGGGAGCTCAGACACCTGCTTTAGTTTCCGCACGTGGGAAATGGGCCGATTGAGAGGTTTGATTGTTGTAAACAATTAGGGTTTTTAAAAAGGTAGATGAGGTCGAGGTTCCAATTTCGGATTTCACCAAACACACTGTGTCTGCCGAGACACACCGTCCCTAAGATTCTATAGTGAAAAGCCATTTTCGATTCTCAGAGAGGTTCACAGTTGTTCCGTTGAGAAGATGGCGGCGATCGCGCGTCTTCATTTGTCGGCCAAATCGAACCAGAGCAATCTGCCATCGCCGAGAGTGATCAACCTCTCCCGCGTTCCAAGGACCCTAGTCTCGTTTCCGCGAAATGGATCGGTTTCTTCCCTCCACACCAACTTCTCCTCTCCAAATCTCTCGGTTCCATGCGCCGGAGGTGGTGACGGTGGTGGAAACTTCGGTAACCCAGGCTCAGGCGGTGGAAGCGGAGGAGGCGGCGGCGGTTATGGAGGTTCAAGCGGCGGGGAAGAAGAAGGGTCGTCTTCGTGGGGACCAATAGGGATGTTCATCGAAGGCTGGAGATCGCGAGTTACAGCTGATCCTCAGTTCCCTTTCAAGGTACTCATGGAAGAGCTTGTTGGAGTTACCGCCTGCGTCCTCGGAGACATGGCGTCACGCCCCAATTTCGGGTTGAACGAGCTCGACTTCGTCTTCTCCACTCTCGTTGTAGGTTCGATTCTGAATTTCACGCTCATGTACCTCTTAGCTCCCACCGCAGCAACTGTTGGCGTCTCCCAGAGCTTACCTGGAATCTTTAGAAACTGTCCTTCGAGCCATATGTTCGAACAGGGAAGCTTCACCGTCATGAACCGCTTTGGGACTCTTGTATACAAAGGGATGGTGTTTGCCACCGTGGGGTTAGCTGCAGGTCTCGTTGGAACCGCCATCTCTAACGGGTTGATCATGCTGAGGAAGAAGATGGACCCGACCTTCGAAACGCCCAACAAACCGCCGCCGACGGTGCTGAATTCGCTAACGTGGGCGACGCACATGGGAGTGAGCGCCAATGTGAGGTACCAAACGTTGAATGGGGTCGAGTTCTTGCTTGCAAAGGCGTTGCCTCCTGTGGTTTTCAAGACAGGTGTGGTTGCTTTGAGGTGTGCGAACAATGTCATTGGAGGAATGTCGTTTGTTATATTGGCGAGGATGACTGGATCACAGTCAGTGGAAGAGAAGGCAGAGGTTGCAGTGGAGGAGACGACTGAGATTTCAGTGAAGGACAAGGATCTTTGAATCAAATCATGAACTTTTGAGAGTTCCTCTTTGTTTTCCGTTGTTCATAGGTACAAAAGAGGGCATCTAGAGTTGAGTTGAAACCTTTTGCAGTAATCTTGCGTTCTTACAAAAAAAACTTTTTAAGACTTAGTTCTGTTAAGTTTACTATTCAATAAGACTTAATCCCTTTTTAGGTTCATCCTAATATTTGGATGTCATTGTTTGCGCTAGTCTTAGTGCCAAGCTTGTTGTTTTCTTTATCTCAATTACCAATAAAATAAATTCAATAAATGGTCTTAAATGATGACCATCGCACATGTAAACTTCATTGTTCATTTTACAATAACTTTTAGAAATCCATTGAGTTCTGGAAAACTAAAAGTTTCTGAAGCTCATTTATTCTCAGAGAATACCAGAGTTAAGGAAGGTGTAAGAGAAAGCTCTGTTTTATTACACAATCAAAAGGCATGAACAGAGAGAGCTCCATCAACACAGATGGTTTGACCTGTAATGTACGAAGCTGCAGGAAGACACAGAAAAGTCGTCATTGCAGGCAATTCTTCTGGCTCTCCAGCGCGACGCATTGGTATATTTGGTGCAATATTCTTAGCAAACTCCTCTCCAAGTATAAAGTGAACAATATCATCACATTCAGTTAACAAACGAGGAACCAATCAATTTAAATGAAATATATTAAGTTTTTGCAGAAAGTTTACAGTTTTAGCTGCAGAAGTTGCAATGACTCCAGGAGCAATGGAGTTAGCTCTTATGTTGTCACTAGCCCATTCGCAAGCTAAGTTCCTCGCCAGCTGGCTTATAGCTCCTTTGGTTGCACCATATATGGATCCGACGCTACAAGATACAACTCCAGCAACAGAGGATATGAAGACGATGCTCCCAGATCCAGAGGATGAGCAAGCTGACACAAGTGGTATGAAGACTCCAAATTTGTCGAGATTTGATACGAGAAATCTTCTGATGTGTATTCTATGGTTGGCTTTGTCACACATGTGCCTACATTGTTTATCTGCATATGTCAACAAAGTTAAAATATGATCTTGGTCCAAAGTATTCTTTAGTGAAGCAGAGAAGAAGACATACGAGGATGTTGAGATTTCCATCAAAGAGGGAAGAAACAGTTTGCATCAGTTTCTCTTTATCAGCACGGGACGATATATCACAGACAGAGCCTGAGACATTAAAGCCTTTCATTTCCCATTCTCGTACACACTGATTAAGCTGAGATTCGTCTCTGGCACATGTATGAATTCTTGCCCCAAGGCTTGCAAGTTCCTCCGATATTGCACGCCTGGTCAACAAGGTTTTAATAATTAGTTGCGCAGAGATACATGTGTAAGCAAAATATAAGGGTTTTTTTTTTCTCTTTTTTTGTTGTTGTTGTTTGTAATGCAAGAAACATGAGATTGGAATGCCGAACCCGATTCCTTTTGTTCCTCCGGTGACAAGAGCGTTCATTCCTTGAAGACTCCATCTCCTGTCTCTGATGCTCTGTTCTGCTCCAGCCATTTTTGTTGCGGATGTTTCTGCTGTTCTGGTTTTGTGAAAGATGGTAATGTTGGAATTGGGTTTATATAATGGTACGAGGTCACGATTAATTGGGTTTTATATGATGTTGTACTAAATGATGTGGTGACGCAGGTGATGGTTGGTACTTGGTAGACAAATCAGAGGTCAAATTAAACACAGGAATTGATCAGTTTTAATGGGGAAAGTGTGACGTAACTAATGATGTGTCTTCCATTATCAAGGTGTTAATTAATAATGGGTTTATTGGTGATGTAAGTGATGATGGATCTTCAATTCATCTTTTGCTTCATTACTTGGATCTGTTTATACTTCAAAATGATAAGAAAAAAGAGTGATTTGTTTTTAGATTCCGGTAGAATAGAGCTAAATAAAGCCCCATCTACTTGATCTCACACCCGAACATATTGTATATCCAAAATTAAGAGTACAAGACACTCTCTATTCCATTCTTCCTAAAATCCGACAAAGTTTTGTATAGACACACGAGTTAAGGGTCAAGAAGTATACATATCTTACAACATAGAATAAGAGAGTGTATGTGTTCACAAGAGGCTCTTTCTTTCACGAACCGATTCAATCATCTAACAGCCTCTGGTGCAGAATTGCAGTAAGGCGTGTGCAAGCACACCAGTCTAGTGAAAGTCAGACACACAGTGGCACAAGCCACTCCCAGCACCATCCCCACGCTGCCTTTCTTTCTCTCTAACCTCACTGCTCTCTTAATCACTTGCCAGAAGCTGGGCAGTAATCCACCGCACGCCACCACCATCACGTGGTCCAGTCCACTGTAATCTATCCCAGCTAATATGGATCCTATGGCTGATACGGGTCCGACAAACCCGATCAAAGCTGCTGCTGCAAGAGCTGCGTGCCAGCTGTCTGTAGCCCCAAAGACACAGCTTGCAACCGCTGTCCCTCTTGGGAGCCCGTGCAGGGAAACCGGGAGTACCATGTGTCTGCCGAGCCCATAAGCCTTTGGAGCAGCCACACCAAGAGCAAGCCCCTCCGCTAGTGCGTGGAACCCAACCGCTCCACACGCTAATAATGATTGGAGAGTTATCACACTGGTCGGAAAGTTGGTTCCTGGGGTTATTAAACTGCCAGCACGAGACTTTTTCCGACAAGTTACGTTAAGTATGGTTGAGCTCGTGAAATGACTCAGTCCGGCTCCGACTGCAAGTAGACTAACCAGAGGGATGAATCCCATTTTCGCGGATAGCAGCAGTTGAAGCGGACGCCAGAGACCGAGGACAAAGGCAATGCCTGAGGCTACTCCCATGAGAAGGGCGTGCTGGAGACGGAATGTGAGTGCCGACGCAACCAGAAATACGCCGCCAAGCAATGGACCCAGACCAAAGAGGAGCGAAACGAAGAAGCCAGAAGCATCCTCTGAGCTGCATATTGCACAAAATGAAGCCTTAGTTGAATTTAAGAACCAATCAAATGCAACAGCTTATAACTTTTAATTGAACTATGTTGTCTTACTTGTAATCATGCGTGAAACTCTCGAAAAGGGTACTAAGAGCTTCCATGGATGCTACTGATATTGTGGCTGCAGATGCCACATGCGACGGAGATGCTTCCTGATGTGATTACAAAGAAGAGAAATTAAGTCACCATGCTTAGTAAAATCCGCATCTTCTCTAACCAGAACATTAATTTCATAAATCACCCCATCCAATTCACCTTGAATGCATCGGGAAGCACTTCAGCAATAACCATCCAAATCATACACCCAGCAGCAAATCCAGTGCAAAAAGGCAAAAACTTGCTAAACGCATCAGCGCATAAAAAAGCTGGCACTGCGACGATAGGCTGGTAAAGAATACAGAGAAGAAAAAAAACAAAAGATTCAGTAACCTGTTATGCAAACAAAGAAATCAGATCGCAGAACATCATATGATTACCTGAGGTAAGGATGTTATTATACTCCAGAGCATGGCATTTTGGGGAGAGACACCCCTTGATGCCAGCACCATGCTAACAGCCAATCCTTCTGGAATATTATGAACGGCTATGGCCAATGTGACCAGAAGCCCTTGACTAAAACCCTTTGAGCCAGCAAACGATACACCAACCCCTGATCCTTCCCCGAAAGAATGAAGTGTCATAATCCCTATGACGAGAACAACTTTAGCTGCATCTGCACCTTTAATATCCAGCATGCTAACTTCACCATATTGTTCAAGAAACTGTCCAAGATACAGGGGTTTTGATGGTAAGTGAGTTTTCACGCAATTTGGCAACACATGAGACATCATTTCAAACTATCATGCAAATCACTAACTAGGTGATAGACAGCCAGAGAATCAGTTTCAAGTTACCTGCTTGCAGAGCCAGATGAACAAACCACCGGCTAGAATCCCAATAACAACCCAGTTTCCAGAACCATGCTCCTGCCCTTCTTTTACAAGATCAAAGCTAGCGGCCAGCATCACACCAGCAGCCATGCCATTGCATATTCCAGCCCACTGAGGGTCAAGCTCGACAAAGAAGAAGGGCACCGCACCTAACCCAGTGGCCGCAGCCATTGCCAAGGTGAACAATGCAACCGTTGAGACCGAAACTTTGTTGTGACTGCCTCTCTTCTCACCCATTCCAATGTCATGGAACGTTTTCTCTACACCACTTCCGTCTATAACATTTCGTCCCATGTTCCCATGAGGAGCAGCTCTTACTTTATGTAAGATCTCCCGCTGGGAATCTGCCTCGGCGTTCCCAATGCATACAACGACGAATAAGAATAGAAGCAGCAGAAGTTCTTTGCAGCCTGAATGCATCATTTTGATGCTGAAAGATCGTCAAGCAGGTTTTTTTCTCTTTGCAAGAGATTAGAGAAAACGTTGACTAATTTATAGGACACCAAATAAACTCCGAGGCCTTGTAGAAGCAAGAGTATGTAACTGTTTCCTGTTTAACACATCACAAGAACGAATTTCAACTCAGCAAATGTAATTGGGAAATACAAAATCGATGAGCATCATGAGAACGGAATTAAAACTCGACAATTTTAATAGACAAAAACGTACATGATGCACTAGATTGATCCAAAGATCGTATTTTGGTGAAATTAACTCAAACAGAACAAGTACAAACGCATAAAAACAATCTGCAGATAAAATCATCATCCAAAACCTAAAACTGTGAAAGTAGAGGAAACCCTGAACAACAAAGCAACAATCTTTATGACCCATAGTTCATACAGAATCGTTCCCATTCTCCTTTTCAATGGACGAACGCGATAAGAGTCTCTGATTTCTAGCAATTCTGGAAACCGTTTGACCAAATTACAATTTGCGAACCCAAATTGCAGAAATTAGCAATTCGATCTACCACTCTAGATGATTTATTTAGACCATCCAATCAATGTATTCTACCACGAACCCAGATCAATGCCAGTACAAAAAAAAGGGATCGCAGAACTTACAAGCACACAGGAAAAATCGGAGCACGAAAAATGTTGGATCCGTTGTACATGAGCTATATTACAGCCGGAGAAGAAGAATTTGGAGATGTGGTCAAAGGATGAAAAGCTTTGGACAAAAAAGGAGAAAAGAAAAGAACCCTACTGCTTCCCGATCCCTTCTCGCTTAGGAGACTTTGGGATAAAATCATGGAAGTCGAATTTTATCAAAGAAAGCCATCGAATTTATACATTTTTGAAAAAAGAAATATAAATGTTTACTAAAATATTTGTATGTAAGACCTTCAAGCTTGTTAATCTCCCAAAATAGTCCGTAACTCTGTAAAAAGATGAAATTGACGTCCAGTATGTTTGAGTTGGAAGCTTCGTATTCGGATCTTCTCTGGACTGGATAAATTATATTATTCAGATAATAGCGCTAATCGTGCGTTCAAGTCTACCGAATATTTAAAATCCTTTCACAACGATTATTGTCGAAACATAATAATATATACAAAAAATGAGTTCGAAAATTGATAAACCGACAAAACGTGAAAGATATCTGTTTTTCTACCAAAACAACAACAACAACAAAAATCATACTACTTACTAGCTAGTTACAAGATAGTATATATACACCATGAATCTACTACATTTACACGGATATACGAGTAATCTTACTCTTTTATATACTGTAATATAAAAATTGCTACTTGTTTTTATTTTCTTTAGATCAAAAAAATCGGAAATGATGAAATTGCGGCTTGGGTCATCGTTTAATATACTAATTGTCTTTGAGGACTAGATCATAGATAACGAATCGTTTTTTTTTTTTCTTTTCTTTTGTTTTGTCCCTAAAAAAATATAAGCCAAAGTCAAATGCCAAAAACCAACAAAGGCAACACATGGTTTTGGTCTATGGTAATATGGTATTAGAGACGTGGTCAAGGGATGAAAAGCGCATCGTATTAACATTGCATCTAAAATTTGTATACTATACTAATTGTCGGTAAGAAAATGTTTCAGTCTGAAGTAGTTACTTGTTTATTCTTGGAAAATAAAATAACCTAGAATGAATTGGAGATTAGGTCACAGTTAAGTACTAGTTAACGGTAAGAAAATGTAAGCCTAAAATAAATTGAAAATAGTACCATAGGATATAGTTTCGGGACATCGATTTTTAGTAGTTAGTTGCAGACTTGAAGTGTAATGGCTTAACTAGATTGATCAAATAAATATCAGTCTGAAGCTATAGCGATTGTCGTATCATCGATATGAGCCACTAACCAATCATGTCTAGACAACTGGATAAACGAGTAACTTTACTAAATTTTTTCATTTTTTTATACCAGAAAATTAATAATTATGTGGTATAGAAAGGTACACATAAACTCTGGCTAATGGACATGAATATAAATGAAAAGCATGAGGAACTACAACAAGAACAAACCAAAACAAAGCATGAATATAAAGTAGCACAGTGATGCATTAAGTGATTAAAGAATTTGAGATATCTTTCCTAAAAGTAGATCCTTCAAACTCTGTCCTTTGCTATTTGTTTGCTCTTCTTTGGTGGGTTTCGGTCTGACAACGAACTGCTTGTTCAATTCTCAATCCAACATTTTTTTTTTAACCAAAAAGGTAACAAGTCTTCGCTTGAACACTTGATAGTGATTTTGGACAAAGTTTCACCAAACTATCAATTTCTTTGAAATTGGTGCAATATAATGGATGGAGATGCATTAAAGGGAATGTCTACGTCTCCAAGATAGAACAATAATGGAGTCATTATGGAGTTCCGTGCCACACCATTTTTTTTTTGCTTTAATTTCTCACGATGCCTTGAATCAACATCATAGGATGTTGTTATGTGTTCTTGTCACTTTAAAGACTGATTTTAGAATACGTAATTGAGACAATCCATCATAGCATGTGAAACGGGACATTCATGTCATACCGAGCCTAAAATGAACACACAAAAATCATATATAAACAAAAAAAATTGAAACACATTTTTGTTGTTGTTGAAAAAGAAAACAACAGAGCAATAAAGAAAATTGATCTTGATTAGTTTTTTTTTGCTTCTTCTCTTAACAGCCGATTTAGGAAACAATATATATTTGTTCTACTCAGAACCGATTTAGGGAACTAATTAACTATTTTATAAAGATTTGGCTAGATTAGTTTTTTTAATTGTTATTTTTGTTAACATCCGATAGTCGATATAGGAAAGTATTTTACTAATCAAAATCAAAGATGATCAAAACTATTCCCGGTTATGCTTTTTAAATAAAGGCTTCCTCCTTCACAGCACTCGAGAATCTTTATTCTCTGATACACTTTCTTACTTGTCAAGAATGCGGCAGTCACACAAAAGCAAAAGCAGCGAGACTTGTCTGTAATATCCCAAAGACTGTATTTTTTTCGTTGAAACGAGCCTCCCGGCGATCTGGAGAGTGAGCTAGTGATTCACGATGGCCGGTATTTCAAACCGACCTTCGTCTCTCTCCTCTTCCTCTACTTCTTGTAAAAGTCGCTCCTCTGTTACTCCCAGCTTCTCCACCTGGTTCGTACTCTCTGTTTAGCATGTTTTCGCTTTGCTCATATGAACGAAACGAAAGATCTGTTTTGAGTTTGATTTTTTTTATGAAAATGGCAGCATATTCTCCGATGTTGCGGGAGACATCACCGTTGTTGTTGACGGAGAGTCTTTTCTACTTCACAAGGTCAGTACACACAAGCTGTTCGGTGAAATTCTTTTTCTTTTGATGCAGATTCTGAACAAACTCAAAAATATTGCAGTTTCCACTAGTAGCTCGGTGTGGGAAGATGAGGAAAACGGTGAGAGATCTCAAGGACTCTTCTTCGTCGTCTTTCGGTGTCTGCTCCACGATCGAGCTCAGAGATTTCCCAGGTGGAGCTCTGGCTTTCGAACTCGCCATAAAATTCTGCTACGGCATCAACTTCGAGATCACTGCGTCCAACGTGGTCGACCTCCGCTGCGCCGCGGGTTATCTAGAGATGACTGAGGAATACAAGGAAGAGAATCTGGTCGCTCGAACCGAGAACTACCTTGACCAGATCGCTTTTCGCAGCCTCGGCAAATCTGTCCAAGTACTCTGCTCATGCGAGACGCAAGAAATGGCTGAAACATTCAAGATTCCTGACCGGTGCGTGGAGGCCATCGCCATGAATGTTTGCAGGGAGCAGTTAGTGTCGGGTTTATCAGAGGAGCTCAAGGGCAGAGACTGTCTCGTGTGGTGGATCCAAGAGCTCTCTGCTCTCGGGATCGATTACTACACCCGAGTTGTCTCCGCGATGGCGAGAACAGGCGTGCGATCAGAGAGTATCGTCGCTTCTCTGATGCATTACGCACAGGAATCATTAAAAGGTGTTATCAATCGAAACTCACAGGAGCAGAGGGAAATCATTGAAGCCATTGTTACCCTTTTGCCGAGTGACGAGAAAAGATCTAACTCTTTATCAGTTACTCCGCTCAGTTTCCTCTTTGGAATGTTGAAAGTCGGAATCACAATAGATATAGACATATCTTGCAGGCTCGAGCTGGAACGCAGAATCGGTCAGCAATTAGAGACCGTGTCTCTCGATGATCTGCTTATACCTTGTGTCCAAAACGAAGATTCCATGTACGATGTGGACACTGTCCATAGGTTACTTACATGCTTTCTTGAGAGGATTGACGAAGAAGATGAGGACAGTGGCTACGATTCAGATTCCACGGGTCAACACGGTTCGTTGCTGAAAGTGGGACGGATCATGGATGCGTATCTGGCTGAGATCGCACCGGATCCATACCTGAGTCTACACAAATTCACAGCCATTATAGAGAGATTACCCCATTACGCACGGATCTTAGACGATGGGATCTACAGAGCCATTGATATGTATCTCAAGGTAAATTAATCAAACAAAAAAATAAGGTTTTCTTTTATGTTTTTGGAAACATCTCAGAGTCGGTCTAATAATGAAGATTATAGGCTCATCCGTTATTGACAGAAGAAGAATGCAAGAGTCTATGCAAATTCATAGACTGCAACAAACTTTCACAAGAAGCAAGCAACCACGTGGCACAAAACGATCGACTTCCTGTACGGATGGTGGCTCGAGTGCTCTACTCGGAGCAGCTGCGACTGAAGAAAGCTCTGTCTGGAGATTCAGAGGAAGGGTTGTTGGATTTGTCGTCTGGAGTACAAAGCCGAGCGGTCTCGCCGAGAGACACGTACGCATCGTTGAGGAGAGAGAACAGAGAGCTGAAGCTGGAGATAGCGAGGATGAGGGTGAGGGTGAGCGAGCTAGAGAAAGAGCAAATGTTGATGAAACAGGGGATGATGGAGAAGTCTGATAATAACGGTGGAACATTCTTGACGTCACTGTCCAAAGGGATCGGGAAAATTGCTATTTTCGGTGGAGAAAACCGGCGGAAGGTTAAACGGAAATCGAGGTCGGTGTCGGAGAAAAACCGAGTAGATGGTGACAACTGACAAGTCGTAAATAATGATACGTCAACGTTTCGAGGTTGCTATCCACACAGAGACAAGTCACATGTAGAGAGGGTGGTATAATGGGCCGGATTAAGTGTGAAGTAGGCCTATAATAGAACAAATGAGGTATCGTTTTCAGGCTATAAAAGAACAAGGAAAACATGGGGGTATAATCGTGGTCGGGTCCAAGCCTTCTTTATTCTATTTTGATTTACTTCTCCACAAAATGTGGTAAAAGAATATTAAAATACCGTATCAAAAGATTTAATTGTATTTTTAAGAGAAAAAAAAGAGCATTCACTAATAAATTTTGTTTTGGTTTGTTAAATCGAAAGTGATGGCCAATGGTAAACCGTAATACTCACTGTGCTTCTACTATTAATATTTTGTTTTATCTAATCTATAGATTTCGTAAAATGTTGCACACATCACATGTAACTGTAATTACAAATGATTTAAAGATATTAACTCAATTTTTTATAAAATAAAAACTCTAGTTGAGTGGAAAATAATCAAATATAGCAAGAGAAGACCACGTGGGGTCTAAAACTCAAAGACATTCATAATTCATCATCTCATATAGACCAAGAAATTAGGAAACTACCTTCCTTTCTCCGCCTCATAAAACAATTTATATATAAATTAAAAAAAGGGCGCATGATTGATGAAAGATGAACATGCATCGTGATAGCATTAGATTAGTACAATAAGCTCTCAACAACTTGGAAGTGACACATTATACACTTTGCCTCTGTCTTAGATCTGAATCTCTTTCCTCTCCAATGGCGTAGATTGTAAGCAAACTCTTCACATACTGGTTTGATTCGGCTTTTGTTTCACTCTTCTTGCCTCTCCCTCTCTCTCCTCCAACGATGAACAAGAATCTCAGAGAATCTCTTGCCGGTGGGAGGAATATTCCGGCGATCTCTCAGTTTCGCAGAGGCAATACCAACATCTCTCAAAACGGCTTCTCTAGAGATTCCGATGAGAACCTGGATCTATTCTCCAAGATCCGTCGCTCTTTCCCCTTGGCTTCCTCCGACGAATTACCCGACGGTTCGTTTCAGATTCACTATCCTTTTTTTTATTATAAATTTGTGAAAATCGATTTTAGTTTACATAGAATTTCTAAATATATATCTCTGGGGATCTCCGAATTCGGTGCTACGAGACACAGTTGTCCGTTTCGTAGACGAAAACGATGTTCACTCTTCTCAATTAATGGCTCTGTGGTCGCGACACTAAATTTTCGAACTGTCTTCGTCTCCTAGATTCGATCTCTTTGCTTTCTCGATTACAGTGATCTGAGAGACAGCGCCATCTTTAAAATAAAAGAAGTACTTTTGGGACCAATGAATAATTGCTGGATCTTGTTCTGCCTCTTCACTTTGATTCCTTTCTTCATCAACAACACTAAATCTCTGCGTTCTAACTCCAGTTTCTGCAAAACTCGGGAGACTCTCGGTCGGATCCAAACCAGCTCCCAGAGTCAAAGGTGATGATCTCTTGTCTTCAGCCGAAGGAGGAAAAAATGATTACGACTGGTAAGTTTCTGCCCAGTCTCTGGTCTTGTCAATGGCTCTCTCTTTGCACATCTTTGTTGTTTGGCCACTATGTGTAATTCACAATGATTTTTCTGTTTTGTTTTTGCCTTTGGGAATGTTAAAATTATGTATAGGAACTGACGCTTTATCATCTCTTCATGTTGACTTTCTCTAGGCTTCTTACTCCTCCTGGAACGCCTCTTGGAAGCGAGTCTCATTCATCTTTGCCTGCTCCAAAGATTACATCTTCCGCTAGAGCCAGTTCTGCTTCAAAGGCATCAAGGGTATGAACCGTGCCTTTCTTCTTTTCAGCTTCCTTTTTCTGTGACGCAAAAGTTTCCTAAAATACCATATTCATATACGAACACTGTTTTGTTCCACTTTTATAGCTTTCGGTTTCACAGTCAGAGAGCAGTTACCATTCCTCACGTCCGGCTAGAAGTAGCTCCGTGACTCGCCCATCCATGTCTACCTCACAATACAGCTCATTCACTTCAGGGCGGTCGCCATCTTCCATCCTCAACACTAGTTCAGCTTCAGTCTCATCCTACATCAGACCTTCATCGCCGAGTTCCCGTTCATCATCTTCAGCTAGACCTTCCACTCCCACTCGGACTTCTTCCGTATCACGGGCCTCGACTCCCTCGAGAATCCGTCCAGGGTCATCTGGTTCATCCATGGACAAGCCCAGACCGTCCCTGAGCTCAAGACCATCGACTCCAACTTCTAGACCACACCTCTCAGCAAACTCCCCAAACGCAATTGCTTCTAGACCAAATTCTCGTCCTTCAACCCCTACCCGTCGAAGCCCATCCACCTCGGCATCTGCAACATCAGGATCCAATATTTCAGGTGGACGTGTTGCAACAAACGGTCGTACCGCACCTTCATTGTCTAGGCCTAGCTCTCCTGGACCTAGAGTACGAACCACCCCACAACAGCCAATTGTGATGGCAGACTTCCCGCTTGATACACCGCCTAATCTCCGAACATCTCTCCCGGACAGACCAATATCAGCTGGCAGGTCCAGGCCAGTCGCTGGTAGCAGCACGACAAAGGCAAGTCCAGAAGCCAAAGGTCCCATAACAAGAAGGAATTCATCTCCTGTTGTGACCAGAGGAAGACTCACAGAGACTCAAGGAAAAGGCCGTTTTGGTGGTAATGGGCAGCACCTCACTGATGCACCAGAGCCGCGAAGGATTTCAAACGTTTCAGACGTAACTTCACGGAGAACCCTGAAGACTTCTTCAACTGTCACGGACAATAACAACGGTCTTGGGAGGTCATTCTCAAAAAGTTCGCTCGATATGGCCATTAGGCACATGGTACGTTTATCTCTTCTCACTATGGAGGAGCAAGTGTTTTGTGCATTTTAATCTTTATCATGCTGTGTAAATATCTAAACATTTTGATGGTGCGTAGGACATAAGAAACGGGAAGACCAACGGTTGCGCACTATCAAGCACGACGTTATTCCCTCAGAGCATCAGGCAAGCGTCGTCCAAGATCCAGCCAATCCGGTCAGGGGTTAACCATTCGGATTCCATCAGCAGCAACAGCGCAGAGAACGGGAATGAAGCAAACGAGGGAAGAAGACTGATGGGTAGGTTGAGCGACATGGACATGTATGAGAGCTCAAGGTATGACGCATTGCTGCTCAAAGAAGACGTCAAGAACACAAACTGGTTACATAGCATTGATGATAGATCATCAGATCACGGACTCATGTTTGACAATGGAGGATTCGAGCTGCTTCCCGAGCCTTTTGCCCCACTATAACACACACACACACACACATAGCCCACAAGTAAAGAACTTTTTTTTCTTCTAAAACCACTTCTCTTTTTTTTTTTTATATAATTTATCTTACACAATTTGTTTGCTTGTCAATGGCGTGGAAAGAAACAGATTATCAGGTACAAGGCTCTAGTGGTTCTTTGTTCTTTGGTTATTGATTCTTGATTCTTGGTTTCGAGTGAGATTTGTAACTTTGTAGTTATAACTTATATAATATTTGAAGAGATGGTAACGTAATTTTTTCTTCTCGGACTTTACAATGTAATAAGGGTCTTGATTAGTTTTGAAGGTAAAACAATTAGAATGTGAAAGATTGAAAAGAAAGATTCACGCGCCTAACGTGAATCAGAGACAGAGCTAAGTTAATAATGGGTGACAGCGAAGCACAACCAACAACGCCAGTGTTTTTGTTCTTATTTTAACTTTTCATAAATTGACTTTCATTAATGATATATATTTTCAGTATTTAAGAGAATTCAATTTTGTAGTTTTCAATGTTGCCTCTATGGCTCTCTATATAATACCCTCATTTATGTCACATACCAAACTCTTACCCTTCCGGGGTCCATTTTTTATTATTATGAAAGATAGTAGTACCATCTTACCCAAATTAATTTTTATAAATATCAAATGAAGTAAGCTCAATATTATTTATATATCCCCTACTCTTGTTGTTTCCCTTACCTATCTACTACGGTTTTTTGATCTTTAAATACAGTCTTTCGCATTATTTAAAAAAAAATCATAAGTATTCCATTTGATTCGTACAATAAAATAGGTTGAGTATTATTATTACATAAGCTACTAAAAATATTCCAAAATTTCTCGTTAAGAAGCTACTAATATACATAGATTTAATCAACTGACCGGTTCAATACAAAAGTTATTACTGATTTTTATAAAGGAAAAAAAAGAATTAAATGTTGGGAATTTAGTACTAGATCGTAAATATCCCCTTATTAAAAGCTAATTCGTTTGGAGTAAAACAAAGAGAAAAATAACGAAAGGACAAATAATTTAGCTACTACCAATTAAAATCTTAAAATATTCGGAAGAGAGTCAAAGGCGTTAAGCCAAAGAGCAAAGCAAATCGCAGTTCAGAGAAGAGAGAGAGAGAGAGAGAGATTGGAATCTGAAACTGACCATCGAGATTTACGTTTCTCCGTTGGCGTCACGCCGAAGCTTCCATACTTTTTCGCCCTTCACCAGAAACCCAAAGTTTTAGCAAAATCCCGTTTCTCAAAAGTCTCTACTCTCTCTCTCTCTCTCTTCTGACTGTTCATCACTTGGTGGTCACTGAATCTGTGGCAATGGCGATTCCAGATTCCCCTCTCTTTTCCGCTTTTGCCTTTCGCTCAAGCTTCCTCTTCACGAAATGCCGTTGTTAAAAGTGATTTCTCCACTATCCCTTCTCTTTTGCATTTATTCCACACTCACTCGTCTTCTACGATCAGCTTCCACCAATGCCTCTCATGAATCTCGTCTAAACCCACCTCAAAGGTCTCTCTCTCTCTCTCTCTCTCACTTTCAATCTTTGGTTTCATCTTGTTTTTGGTTTTCTCAATTCTTATTTCTAAAAGATTTATTCGTTTTCAATTACGAATTCTCCATTTGGCTAGCTGGAGAAACCCTAGTCTTATAAATGTACATCTGTAGATTGCAGATCTGGGTATAACAAGTACCTCTGCGCACACATTTCTCTTACCAATCGTTTCTAAATTTAGCAGCTTTCTAATTGGGGATTTTGATGATTGCGTCTAACCACTGTACTCGAGAAATCTTCAACCGTTTTCAATGAGAACCCACTCGCTGCCATTGAATGAATGTGTACATAAAGCTTTCAAAAAATCTTGTTTTGATTGATAATCGAGTAATGTCGCATTGGATTTTTTCATCATTCTCTCACCAACTTGCCTAAAACCTTTTGCTTTTTTAATTTATGGGAAGTTTATTACGCTTTTGTATCTTTCTGTAACTACTTCTTCTCCATTGTGTTTATTTGTGTTGATCTTTACACCTGAGTCCAGAAGCCTGTCAAGTGTCGGTGTCATTCTTTTTCTACTTTTCATAGATACAATTCTAATTTAAAAGTTAAATGTTGTGTGACTGTAAATCAGAACTTGATGTGCTTTGTGTTCTCTTGCAGTTGCAGGTGAATGAGAAAGCTTTGATGTAAGCGAGCCCAAGAGTATTTTCAAAAGGACTGATGACGATGATTGTTGCGGCCTTCATTTTCCTTTTGGTCTCGCCTTTTGTTTCCCGTTGTTTGTCTGGAGACATAGAATCAGACAAGCAAGCACTGCTTGAGTTCGCATCTTCTGTTCCTCATAGTCGCAAACTCAACTGGAACACCACAATTCCAATCTGCAGATCATGGACCGGCATCACCTGCTCCAAGAACAACGCCCGTGTTACCGCACTCCGTTTGCCTGGATCTGGACTCTATGGACCTTTACCAGAGAAGACTTTTGAGAAGCTTGATGCCCTCAGGATCATTAGCCTGCGATCCAACAACCTCCAAGGGAACATTCCATCTGCCATCCTCTCTCTTCCTTTTATCCGGTCGCTCTACTTTCATGACAACAACTTCTCTGGTACTATCCCTCCCACTCTTTCGCACCGCCTTGTTAATCTTGATCTCTCCACCAACTCGTTATCGGGCAACATTCCCGCTAGTCTACGAAACCTTACCCACCTCACCGATCTCAGCCTACAGCACAATTCTCTCAGGGGGCCAATCCCTGACCTCCCTCCTAACCTAAAATACTTGAATCTGAGCTTCAATAACCTTAACGGGTCAGTTCCATCCTCTGCCAAGTCCTTCCCAGCATCCTCGTTTCAAGGCAATAGCCTTTTATGCGGCGGTCCTCTAACTCCTTGCCTAGAGAACACCACTGCACCATCACCATCACCATCATCATCACCATCAGCTTCCCCGGCTCCACCAACTAAAGCTCCTGGTACAACCAAAAGAGTTCTCTCCACTGCAGCTATTGTCGGCATTGCAGTTGGAGGTTCGGTTCTGTTGTTTATCATTCTTGCCATCATAACGCTTTGCTGTGCCAAGAAAAGAGATGGCGGGCAAGACAGTACCGCAGTTCCAAAAGCTAAACCCGGGAGGAGTGACAACAAGGCCGAGGAGTTTGGGAGTGGGGTGCAGGAGGCGGAGAAGAACAAGCTGGTCTTCTTTGAAGGAAGTTCATACAACTTTGATCTTGAGGACTTGCTCAGAGCCTCGGCTGAAGTTTTAGGAAAAGGAAGCTATGGCACAACGTATAAGGCCATATTAGAGGAAGGAACCACGGTGGTGGTGAAGAGGCTGAAGGAAGTGGCAGCTGGGAAAAGAGAGTTTGAGCAGCAGATGGAAGCTGTGGGGAGGATCAGTCCACACGATAATGTAGCTCCTCTTCGTGCTTACTACTTCTCAAAAGACGAGAAATTGCTCGTGTATGATTACTACCAAGGGGGCAATTTCTCCATGCTTCTTCATGGTAATGATGATGATGTTTCACATGTTATTTGCGATTACAAATAAAAATTAGCTTTTAAAAGTAACATTTTCGATGAATCGTATTCCTATGCAGGAAACAACGAGGGAGGAAGAGCGGCGTTGGACTGGGAAACAAGGTTAAAGATCTGTTTGGGAGCTGCAAGAGGAATTTCTCACATTCATTCTGCATCTGGTGCTAAACTCCTCCATGGAAACATCAAATCACCAAATGTCCTCTTAACCCAGGACCTCCATGTCTGTGTCTCAGATTTCGGTATAGCTCCATTGATGAGCCATCACACCTTGCTTCCATCGAGAAGCTTAGGGTACAGAGCACCGGAGACCATAGAGACCCGGAAACACACCCAGAAATCGGACGTGTACAGCTTTGGTGTACTGTTGCTGGAAATGCTGACAGGGAAAGCAGCCGGGAAGACGACGGGGCATGAGGAAGTGGTGGATCTGCCAAAATGGGTGCAGTCGGTGGTGAGAGAGGAGTGGACTGGAGAAGTGTTTGACGTAGAGCTGATAAAGCAGCAACACAACGTTGAGGAAGAGATGGTGCAGATGTTGCAGATAGCAATGGCTTGTGTGTCAAAGCATCCAGATTCTAGGCCTTCCATGGAGGAAGTGGTTAACATGATGGAGGAGATTCGGCCTTCTACAGGTTCTGGTCCTGGTTCTGCCAACAGAGCCTCTTCCCCGGAGATGATCAGAAGCTCTGATAGTCCGGTTTAGATTGGTTTTTTTTCTTTCTCAAATCATTATTTATTTTGCATTTCCTTCTTCTTCTTCGTAATAAACCTTTTCCTAGTTCCTATGTCTGACTACTTGAGCATAATCTCTTTCCAAACATTATCTGGAAAGCTAATGTAATAGAGAAACCCTGTCCTTGAATGATTGTAGTCCTTAGATTGTTTTTGTTTAGTGTGTGTGTGTGTGGTTACCAAAAATTTCCATTTTCTTTGGCATTATAAATATATATATATATATATATATATTCAAAGAAAATCCAGATTTATCCGAAATTCCGAATCAAGTTCGACCCATTTGATTATTTACTTTGTTTGGGGATATTTACTTTGGCACGTGAAGGAAAATAAAATATAGAAAAATTTGAAGCGGTCCTGCTGGCGTAATCAGAAGCTTCGAGTCTGACTGAATGTTAAGAGTTAAGATTCTCTGACTAAAAAGAAAAGAAGGAAGTAGGAGAAGGAGGGCTATTCGGTTTCTCTTTTGCACGCCTCTTCTCTTCTGTTCTCTTCTCTCTCTCTCCTTGCGCAGTTGCCGAGAAAGAAGGTAGCTTTCAGATCCACTTCTTCTCGGTTAGACCCTAATTTCTTCTCTCCCGAATCTTCCTCTTCCTCCCTCTCTTTAGTTTTCTTCATCGCTTACGTTTTGTGCTGTTTGGTTCGGAATCTTCGTCTTCCTCTGTGATCTCCTGTGTTATATAAGTCGGTTGGTGTTAAAGTTTTCATGGCTTGTTTTGTTGGGGGCTTGTGCAGGCTTTCTCGTGTCTGAGTCATGGCTTCGAGGCGGATTTTGAAGGAGCTCAAGGATCTGCAGAAGGATCCTCCTTCTAACTGCAGCGCAGGTCATTCAATTATCCTTTTCTATTGTTTTTACCCGATTATCGGCTAGTTTGATGTTAGGGTGTACTTTGTCTCATCAAAATCCATATTATGCTTCTGAGTTTTCTTTTTTTTTTGTTTGTTTGTTTAGTGTCGCTTTGATTTTGCTAGGCTCTCTTAGTGATGCATGTCTGATGGGTCTGTTGTGTCTCTTATATGCGCACTTGTTCACATAAGCCTTCTCTGTCTTGTAATAGAGAAAACTCTTTCAAATTAATATTCCCTTGATCCTCTTATAATCTCTCAAGTATCCAAATCTCTCTCTCTCCTTTTGTATTCTTTTGCTAAATATGTCTCTCTCTCTCTATTGATGTGGTTCTGAGGTATGAGTTGATAAAGAGATTGAGAGTCTTGCTGTAACGTTCTGTTTTGTTATAGGTCCTGTGGCAGAGGACATGTTCCATTGGCAAGCAACTATAATGGGACCCCCTGACAGTCCCTATGCCGGAGGAGTCTTTTTGGTTTCCATTCATTTTCCTCCGGATTATCCTTTCAAGCCGCCAAAGGTTTGGTGGTTTTTTGTTTTCTCTCTTCAGTAACTTAACCATCTCTGTTGCGGAATCAAACTTGATGATGTGTATCAACCGATTTTGTGCAGGTGTCTTTCAAAACTAAGGTGTATCACCCAAACATCAACAGCAATGGAAGCATCTGCCTTGATATCCTCAAAGAACAATGGAGTCCTGCTCTTACCATATCCAAGGTTTGAGTTCCGATCTCTACTACTACTACTAGCATTTACAACAAGTACGATGGATATGAACCGATTCTCTTCTCTGGTGATGATTGCTGTGGACTCAGGTTTTGTTGTCGATTTGCTCATTGCTGACTGACCCGAACCCAGATGATCCTCTTGTCCCGGAGATAGCTCATATGTACAAGACGGACAAATCCAAGTACGAGTCAACTGCGCGAAGCTGGACACAGAAGTACGCCATGGGATGATAACACTCGAGTGGTTCCGAGTAGACAAGTGAACGGTCTGTTGTTATTTCACATGATGGTATAAAACTTAACAAGTAATGCACTTTATTGGGTTTGGCAAAAACACTAGCATGTGGTCACTATCGAACAAACTAGGCTGCCCTTTCTCTTCTCTTCTCTTCTCATCCCTATTAACTCTATTTTAATTTTTTGGTCTACTTTCTAATCTCATGTTTCCTACGAAAATTACGAGTGATTACATTACTAAACTGTGTTTATTGTGGTTCGGCCACAATTTTTCTTACAAAAAGATTTTATATCACAATGTACCGGCGTATATTTGTTTTCATTATATGGGTTAGTTTAGTTAGTGCGGATTCGATGTATCAAGTCAATGTTCAATTCTCGTTGTGCATTGGTTTGTGTACTCTTTCTATTGTTTCGGTACCCTTGTCAATTTGTACGTAATGCGTAAACATCAAATAAAAGTGACCCCAATAAGTCATGAGCTGAATATTTTAGTTTCTATATAAACGATTTTGGGTTTTAAGTATTTGGGATATGAACTTTCAAAACCCTTATTTGATAGCATTTCACAAGAAACATGAAGTCATGATCTGAACCCATTGTAGTCTCTTGTGATTGTCATTGATAGCTTGACACATTACTTTTGAACTAAACATTGGTAATAATAAATTTGAAGAGGGAATGATTGCTTTCATATATACAACATGAATTTTGCAAACATTTTTTTTTCCAATTCCACTCATCCCACCATTGCGAATTTAATAAGCTGGAATCTGCAGTTAAAAAACCAAATTCTGAAAAACAATCATATACAAGATTTGTTAAGCATCGATAGGCAAAAATTTTAATCATGTGTCACCGCATATCTGTTCGACCACACTACAATATACACAAATAATTATATATCTATGTTAAAAACATGAAGAAAAGGGAGAAAGCTTATACAGCATGACAAAATAGTACCTAACTAAATAGATGATCCACACTTTTTACTTTTTTATATTATAAGTATTTATAATTTATGATTGGACACAAAATGCACATTCGATTACATAGTATTTGCCAGCTCACATTACCACGAAGTAATTGTAAAATAGAAAAGATTGTATTAACATGTTTAGTTGCAGTAATTAAACATAAGTATTATCATGAACTAGTATTATTATGAACTATTAAAAAAGTATAAAAATATATAAAATCTAGACAGAAACGATGGCTTGTTCTTTAGATGTTTGGCATTAAACTAATTTATCTGAATCAAATCATCTTCAATTCTCCTCAATGTTCGATTAATCTGGCTGGTTTGCTGTATCAAGTCAATGTTCAATTCTCATGTGCATTGCGTAAACTGACCTAAGTGTTTGTTAACCAAAAGAACCCCCTGATTTCTAATTTTGTTTAGTGTCTAACTAATTGTTTTAACTAATAAAGTTGCAAACAAAAACGGACAGAGGTGGAGGGCAAAAGCGTAATTAGGGAAAGGGGAAATTGGGTTATGACGCGGTCTTAATGAGAGGGAGCCTCTTGATCTCCAATTAAACGACTCCTCTAATTTGGTATCTTTCTCGCACGACGCCGTTTCTTTGGTTCGTTCATTCATCCACTAACACCAGAAAATAGGTGATTTCTCCATCTCTATCTTTCTCTTTCTCTTTCTCTTTCTCTTTCTCTTTCAATACTTTTCTTCTCTCTTCATTCTTTCGTCTTCTGTCAAAGTTTTCAACCTTTTATTACGCGTTTAAGCCTCTCAACGTATACGATCTTCAAAGGTATGTCTGGTGTTAGCCGTTTCAGATTCTCTTAATTCTATACATATGGAATCGCCTCACTCATTTCAATTTTCATTTTTTTCGTTTGTTCCGCCATCGAATCTTGTTCGTTAATTTGATGAGCTGAAATTTCCCTCTTTCATTTTCAGTGAGTTAGAAGAATAAAATCGAATTTCCTTCTTCTACATCAGACAAATTCGAATCTTTAGAACATTCAGATGGGGAGCTGCGTCTCTAAGGTATTTAAAGAAATGAAAACACAATTGCTTGGATTTGTGTTTTTGTCGCGTGAAATTGGATTGTATGCCGATGATGAAATTAAAAGTACTTTTCTTTGCTACGTTAGGGAAAAGACGACGATGATTCCGTTCACAACGTTGATTTTTCCGGTGGCAATGTTCATCTGATAACAACAAAAGAGAGCTGGGATGAGAAATTAGCAGAAGCTGGTCGTGATGGCAAAATAGTAATTTTCCTTTTTTGATTTTTTTTCCCTTTCATGGAGTGGTGGTGAGTGTTGTGTTTCTCAATCTCATGAACCATATATCTCTCTTCTTTTTCATGAGAACAGGTGATTGCAAACTTCAGCGCCACTTGGTGTGGTCCTTGTAAGATTGTGGCGCCATTTTTTGTAGAGCTCTCAGAGAAACATCCTTCTCTAATGTTCCTCCTTGTAGATGTTGATGAACTTAGCGTAAGTAGTACCACCCTTGCTTCTTTCCTCCATATTCTCTCTTCTCTTCACGTGATATTGAACAAAATCGCAAATGTATCTTCTGATTTCTTTTTCTGCAGGATTTCAGCTCATCATGGGACATAAAGGCAACACCAACATTCTTCTTCCTAAAGAATGGACAGCAAATAGGGAAGCTTGTCGGAGCAAACAAGCCGGAGCTACAGAAGAAGGTTACTTCTATCATTGATTCAGTACCTGAAAGTCCACAACGGCCTTGACCGCTCCCTTGTGTTCTTTTGTGTCTTCTTCACGGTGGAAAGTACCAAAAATGTCTTTGTTCTGATGGTCAATGGATGTAAACTGCTAAAGTTTTTAAAAAGTCACTACAAGAAACCATTTGAGTTAGATCATCCTATTTCTATAATATATATATATATATATATATTGAATCGTCTCTATTTAACATGTGCAAGCAAGAAGCTTCTCGCTGCTATTAGCTCTTCTTTGTTATTATCATAACTAATGAGGAACATATCCCCATCGTCGTTGGTAACATCCCCATGTCAGGCTTGCGAACTCGTTTGTCCACCATCGATTGATACTGCGATAGAGTGTGAAGATAATCAAAGTTGAGAGTTTTTGCCAAGAAGAACGGATTTTTAAGATTCACTTTTACTTTGACTTTAAGCTTTTGTGTCTCAATGATATCCAAATAAAATACTAAAGCAAATGCTTTTACATTACATTATCAACTAGTTTGGTCCGAAAGCAACGTCGTTATCATCTTATACACGTTTTCAGTGTTTATTCTTTTGTTTAACAGGGTCAAAGGTCAATCTTAGTTGCTCTGGTTCAATAAGTTAATAATTTGTTCTCAATCAAAACAATTCCTTCACTCTTCTTATCTTTTAACAAGAAGATCTCATAAAATCAGTTATATAATAGGGTTCTTAGTCAAACGTGGATTGAATATTCAATTTCATAATAATACGTTTCAGACACTTTTACATGTATATTTATATTGTTGTTACTTGATGCTTAAAGAGAAAAGGAGAACATATTGATAAAGGTTAAAAACGAGTCTACATGTTGAGAAAGAAGAGACCACAAGGGTTTGACTACATGTTGAGAAAGACGAGAAAGAAGGTTAGACAGAGACATCAAATTCTATTTCCATAAAACTCATCTGACAGCATTTAGTGCCTCTACAAAGTCGATGTGGATTGTTGGAGGAATGAAGGAGGAGGCCTGACGTATGTGAAGTTGGTGAAAGGGTTGGCCTTAGAATCCGAGCTCGGACTGCTTACCGGAGAATCCACCAAAGACATTTCAGTCCAACACTTGTCGAAATTTGCTATGCATTGCCTTCCCGATACCTCCGGCTTGAAACTTGGCATCACTTCTCTAGCCTCCAGCTTCTTCCAGTTCATTCCCTTGAACCATTTGTGATCTTTAATCTCCTCTGCTCCTCTCGGTCCACTTCCAAGTCGTCTCTCTGGCTCTTTTTGCAGCAGCTATACAATCATTACAAAAAAGTCAGAATCAGATTTGGTCCTAACCCAATGCTTCACAGTACACGAAGATGATGATGATGATACTTACCCCTTTCAGCAACGCATGAGCTTCTGTAGACAGAAACTGTGGAAGTTTGATCTTGTCCTTCACTATTTTCTGCTGTATCTTTACTTTGCTCCCTAGAAACGGTGGCTGCAAAAGCAAATAAAAAAAAATGTCATCACACAACACAATTCAGTTATCATCTAAACAAATACAAAAAGACTACATTAGGCATATTACCTTCCCAGTGAGCATCTCATACAGAAGAATCCCAACGCTCCACCAATCAGCAGCTTTATCATGTCCTTTCCCACGAACGATTTCAGGTGCCATATACTCTACAGTCCCGCACATAGAGTTTGATCTTTTGTTTTCTTCAAACTCCTTCGCTAAACCAAAGTCTGTCAGCATCACGTGGCCATCCACGTCCATGAGAATGTTTTCGGGCTTGAGATCTCTATGCATTATGCCTTTCTCATGGAGATGGGAAACTGCAGAGACGATCTCAGCAGTGTACACACGAGCCAAGTCTTCTCTGTGAAGAAGGAAAAACCAGAACAAGTCAAGCGTTGCAGAATAATGGTGAAACTCCAAGAAATAGTTAAAATAGGAATTAAGACAAACCTGAAAAGGCCTTGGTGATAGAGCTGGAAGAAAAGATGCCCTCCGTTTATAAAGTCCAGCACAAGATACAGTCTATACTTAGTCTGCACAAAAAGGGATATGTTTAGTGCTCTAACTCTCTAAGTATCAAATTTATGAATAAAAAGCATAGAGAAGTTGGATTCTTACCTGAAAGGAGTATTTAAGCTGAACGATGAATGGATGGTCAATTTTGGTAAGAATATCGCGCTCGGCTTTCATGTATTCCGCATGGTTCTTCTCCATAATTCTATCTTTTCTCATGACCTTCATCGCGTAGATCTCAGACGTCTCCTTCTTCCTCACCTGGTACACTTTCCCAAACGCACCTTGCCCAACAACCTTCAAAACCTCAAAATCCTCAATGCCAACTACACCTAAGACCTCCGCCGTATCTCCCTCGGGGACTTTCTCGCTGTCGGTGTCGTCATTACCAGAAAGTTCATCGCTTTCTTTCAACGATTCAATTAAGTCGATCGAGTCCTCGGTGTCACGTAAGGTGAGCTTGTTCATCTTGAAAGAGTGACCACCGATGGAAGACGGGCCAACCAGCGAGTGGGATCGACTGTAGATAACAGCAGGCTCGTCGTAGACAGCATCACTGGCCTCTCCAGAGTTATGATTAGCCTCAGGGAGTGGACCAAATACATCAGAGAATTCAAGTTCAACATCATCTCTCAAGACAGCATGTGGAGGTGTGATTGTTAAATACAGCTGTTTCTGCAACGGCTTCCCCGTCAGGTTTTTGTTGGCAGCAACAGGACACTCAGAGGAAACCATGTTTTCGCCAAAAGAATCAGAGAGAAAGCCTTCACCAGATTGGTGAGAGTCTCCTACCAATGGAGTTAATGAACAATGAAACTGGGAACAGGCAAACCAAAGTCTAGTAGGAGGAGAAGCTCTTGTTGTTTCCCTATTTGAAGGAAACAGTGGATGCTGCACAAGTGCGCGAATGCCATCAAAGTGCTCTAAGCTCTGCAGTTTATGAAAATTCCACAAGTTCAGCAGAGGCTAAGACATGATCATTATCAAATCTCAAGAACAGGATTGACCAAAATTATGAAATTAGAAATTAAAAAGATTCCTTTTTTTTAATTACCAAAAACAGAAGTCAACATAACTGAGATTAAGAAAAAACTTCGCACAGACCAAAAGAAAAAGGATCCTCCCAGTCAAAATAACTGAAAAAGAGGGGAATTTATTCCCGGCGGAGACAAATCTTGAATAAATCCCAAAGCCCTTCAATTTCCGGATTTGGGATCGTTAAAAAAAAACCATAAACAGCTTCGAGAACCAAATTTTCACCAGGACACGAGACAGAACGAAACCCACGAAGAAAATCAATTTTTTTTTATTTTCTATAACTCTGATGAATCTAGTCGTGAATTAGGGATCAGGTGCCGGACAAGACATGCAAATTTTAAACAAATCCAGATTTAGAGAAGAACATATGTATGACCTGAACCAAAAAGGTTTCGTGTCCTAGAAACAAATACATGAACTTCAATCATATATATCTACAAAACCAAAAAGGAATATAAAGTCTGTGGGAGAAAAGTCAAAGAGAGAATATTACCAGAGAGAAGAAGAAGATGCCTGAGGAAGGAGAAGAGGAACGAAAGGAGAATTTAAGAGGAAAGAAGCCTAATGCCAAACCTGCAAGGAAAAGGTTTCTCAGGCGCGTGGCTCCTTTTTTTGGTTTATGTTATTGAAACTTGAGAAGCATCGTGGATCAAGGGGTTAGGACACGTGTCGGTCTTATATTGGGGGAACGTTGACAAATGGGTTCAACGCGGCGGCGAGTTTTTTTTTTTTTTTTTTTGTATATTTGATCAATCAACATCAACTATTTGTTGTCTATTTCAACCAAAGGGGATGTATTTTGTAAGAGTTTAAATTTTCCTGTTCTTTTATAAATCACATGTGTTTCAGGCTTTCAGCTAACTATTTCTTCCGTCTTTGAAACTGTTACCGAACAAAAATTCTGCAAAATATTTCAAAATCCGTATTTACGACCCTACACAGTATTATCATACATAAATTAACGTAAAACATGTTTTAATAACAATTACTCATTTAATCTATCGTTTATAAAAAAATATATGAAACCTCAAGTTATTAAAATTTAACAATCAAGTTAAAAAAGCTTTCGAAAAAGCATATGGCAATACATTGATACTTAAAAACAAACATAACAGTTGGAGATATTCTCTTTTCGAAAAGGTTTCAAAAGAGTTACATTACAAAGTAAATGTAGATTGTTGAAGGAATGAAGGAGGAGGCCTGACGTACGTGAAGTTGGTGAAAGGGTTGGCTTTAGGATCCGAGCTCGGACTGCTTGCCGGAGAATCCAACACAGACATCTCAGTCCAACACTTGTCGAAATTTGCAATGCATTGTCTTCCCGATATCTCCGGCTTGAAACTTGGCATCACTTCTCTAGCCTCCAGCTTTTTCCAGTTCATTCCATTGAACCATTTGTGCTTTTTGATCTCCTCTGCTCCGCTCGGTCCACTTCCAAGTCGCCTTTCTGGCTCTTTTTGCAGCAGCTACAAAACATTCATTACAAAGTCAGAACCAGAACTGTCTAAACCCAATGCTTCATAAGTCATTTGTACACAGAGATTTTCATGTTTACTTACCCCTTTCAGCAAGGCATGAGCTTCACTAGACAAAAACTGCGGAAGCTTGATCTTGTCCTTTACAATTTTCTGCTCTATCTTCCCTCTGCTTCCCATAAAGGGTGGCTGCAAAATGGAAAAAAATGGCAACACACAAGACATTTAGATCATCAGCTAAACAAATACCAACGCATGAATGAGGCTTCTTTGGAAACAGAAAAACAAAAAGAGACGGCTTTTTACCTTCCCAGTGAGCATCTCATACAGAAGAATCCCAACGCTCCACCAGTCAGCAGCCTTATCATGCCCTTTCCCACGAACGATTTCAGGTGCCATATACTCTGTAGTCCCACACATTGAGTTTGATCTTGTGTTTCCTTCAAATTCCTTTGCTAAACCAAAATCAGTTAGCATCACGTGGCCATCGACGTCCATGAGAATGTTTTCGGGTTTGAGATCTCTGTGCATTATGCCTTTCTCATGGAGATGGGAAACCGCAGAGATGATCTCCGCAGTGTACACACGAGCCAACTCCTCTCTGTGAAAAAACAAAACATAGAACTAGTTAAGTCTTGCAGAATTCTGGTGAAACTCCAAAACTAGTTAAAAAAAGGGAAGTTAAACTAAACCTGAAAAGGCCTTGGTGATAGAGCTGGAAGAAAAGATGACCACCGTTTATAAAGTCGAGCACAAGATACAGCCTGTACTTGGTCTGCACACAAAAAGGAGTACATGCTTAGTGCTCTGAGTATCAAATTTATGAAGAAAAACCACTTGGATTCAAAAAGATAGAAGTAGGATTTTTACCTGAAAAGAGTATTTAAGCTGAACAATAAAAGGATGATCAATCTTGGTAAGAATGTCGCGCTCAGCTTTCATGTATTCGGCATGGTTCTTCTCCATGATCTTGTCTTTCCTCATGACCTTCATGGCGTATATCTCAGATGTCTCCTTCTTCCTCACCTGGTACACTTTCCCAAACGCACCTTTTCCCACAACCTTCATAACCTCAAAATCCTCAAGTCCTACTACACCTGAGACTTTCACCAGATCTCCCTCCGGAGCTTTGTCACTGTCTGTGTCGTCATTACCAGAGAATTCATCATTTTCTATCAACGATTCAACCAAGTCGACCGAGTCCTCAGTATCTCGTAAGGTGAGCTTGTTCAGCTTGAAAGAATGACTACCGACGGAAGACGGGCCGACCAAAGAGTGGGATCGACTGTAGACAACAGCAGGCTCGTCGAAAACAACATCACTGGCCTCTTCAGGGAGCGGGCCAAAGACATCAGAGAAATCAAGCTCAACATCATCTTTCAAGACAGAACTTGAAGGGCTTAGGGATAAATATTGCTGCTTGCGGGTTTTGATGGGGACAGGACGGTGAGAGGAAACCATAATTCACACCAAAAGTAAATCGATACAGAATCGCTGGTAAAGCTTCACGAGAGTTCACCAGACTGGTGAGGGATTCTGTACCGACGGAGTTAATGAGGAGAAAACTGACTAAAACGACAGCTGATCTGGAGAATTCTGGCAATTGGCAATCCGATGACGAGGAGGAGAAGCTCTTGTTGTTTCCCGATTTTAAGGAAACATTCGATGCTGCTGAATTGCGCAAATGCCATGAAGGTTTTCTAAGCTCTGCAGGTAACATCAAAGTTCACAAATTCAAAGATTGATATAGAATTAACATAAGCAAGTCCTAAAATCATTTTTTTTTTAACTGAGATAAAGAAAACTTTGTGCCGAACATATATTCTTCTCCTACCCAAATAAATTTTTATTAAAAAAAAAAGGAAAATTTTCACTGCAATCTTGAATAAACCCCCAAAGCATTACAATTTCCAAATGGGTACAAAACCTATACAGCAACGAGAACCCAGAATTTACCCAGGATACAACCGATGATGAAAAGGAGCTTAAATTTTGATAATTCAGATCTAGACGTAAGCAATGAAACCAAATCGAGATCTACAGAAAAACTATGACATGAACATCTCGCGTTGTAGAAACAATACACGAATTTTGATAGTTTCTATGGATCCAGAAAACTAATTAAAGGATTCTAAATTCTGGAAGAGAAAAGTCAAAAAGAGAGAGAGAGAGAGAGAGAGAGAGAGAGAGAGAGAGAGAGGAGATTACCAGAGAGGATGCCTGAGGAAGGAGACGAGAATGGAAACGAGGACGAGAGAAGGATTTAAGAGATGAACCATCGTAGATCCGGGGAAGGACACGTGGTCATGTCCTATTGGTAGAACGTTGACAAGTAGTTAAATGTGCGGCGGAGGTTTTTTTGTCCACCATTCCCTTTCTTTATTTTATTTTAGTGGGCCGGCTGTCATTCAAGCCCATTATAAGATGTTCTGATTGTTATTAATCCTAATTTGGTTTGATTAATCGTATGTCCTAATTTGGTTTGATTAATCGTGTTTTACTTTGCAGGAATTCGTTTCTAAACAGTTAATACGATTATTTTGTTTAATCGAAAAATAGTCTTCTCGCGTTCAATTTTATTTAAAAAGAAAAAACATCTCTCACCGGATTACAGACAAAAAAGTTATTTATCATTGCCTTGTCGAGATGACTTTTGGACCCAACTAGTTGGGTGTAGACCAGGTTCACGCCCGGTTCATGTACATACCAGTTCTAGTATCCACCAATATCTCTTCACCTACGTTCACAAAGAGGGGAACGGTAACTACTGCCCCCGTTTCCACCGTCGCAGGCTTTGATCCACCTAAACAAACACCAACCACCCGTTTTAGTTAGTGCTTGATTTAAATCAAAACACAAGAACAGGGCTCTCAACAATAGATTCGTGCAACATTTATCATTACCTTGCGCAGTGTCACCGCGAAGGCCAGGATCAACATCAACCACTTTCAGCTTAACCGTATTTGGCAGTTCGAAATCGATAACCTTGCACAATTCCAGACAGAAACAAGATATATCACGGCGTCATCTCTGAAGTATTTACTTAGAAGCCAAAGTGCGTACCTTGTCTTTCCAATACAGCAAACTGCATTCCATGCCTTCTTTCAGCCATCTCGTCTTCTCACCCATATCTGATTCGTTAAGACGCGTTTCTTCGTAAGTGCTCTGCGGAAAGAAGATTTTAATTTTTTTAAAAAAAACAGAAAATCATGTCATTAAAACAAAGCATGGTTTAATAAGAGAATGCAAGGATCCTTTGACATACCAAGTCCATGAAAACAAACTGAGACCCTTCTTTGTATGTGAATTGTTTGGTTTCTTTGAATACATTTGCTTCCTCGACCTGTAACATACATGAGAAATCAAAGCATAAACACGATGGCGTGCACTTCGTTGGATTAAGATACGAAAGAAGAGAGAGAGAGAGAAAGAGAGGATTTTTACAGAAATTCCAGCACGAAATGTTCTCTCCACTGTGCTACCATTGACATAGTTCCTGATCTTAGTTCTCACAAATGCAGCACCTTTTCCTGGTTTGACATGAAGAAACTCTGCCCCCAAAAAAATAGCGAGAATGAAAAAATCAAAAAGACCAGTATAATTTTGAAAACCATAACATCTCCGAGTAGTAAAGCTTGCAGAAATTAGATGCAATCAACCCGAAACCAACGCTTAATCCGTCAAGGACCTAGTACCAGTATCCTAGAAGCAATACCTAACAATTCAGATTATATTTGCAAATCCCAAAAGTAAAATCTAAGTTAAGAAGGAAGAACTGTACCGAGCACACGCCAAGGAGCACCATCGACTTCGATGTTGGTTCCGGCTTTGATGTCATTGGCAGACAAAGAGCAGCAAATCCCTGCAAATCAACGTCGCCGGAAATATGAATATTAAGAAACTCAATCCCTATCAATGTCTCGAATTTAGAGGACGGAGAGAAATTTAACCGGGAAATCTGTTGGTTCGAGGAGAAACCCGCACAGGGAGCGCCGATCGATTCGAGAAAGATAGTGAGAGCGATGAAGCTGAACTAGTAGAATACGGGACGCAGAAGGAAGCAGATGAAGATACAGTAAATGTCGCTCTTCCCGCCATTTTGTTCTTCCGCCGGCGAGAAAACGAAGGCGATGAGTCTGAAACGTTGGATAAGGTCCTCAAGAAAAGGGAGGAGGAGGAAGGTTACGCTCGATCTCGACCGTGTGTATACCGAAAACAAAACGGACCGAATCGGTCCAATTTATTGATCCGGTTCTTCTAGCAATTATTTAAGCCTTTATCATCAGATCTTAATGAGTCATCTGCTCATTTTAGCTGTTAAGGTTAGTGGATATAACAACGATTAGAGTTCATAGTATTGGAGTTTTGTCTGTCCAAACTCAAAACATATACCACATATTGCATAGCCTTTTCGTTATGCTTACCCAAAGCATTGGATAAATCGAATTGGTACTAGAATGAGCAGAATACTTCGAATCTCTTTTATCTGAAGAAGAAAATTGATTATTATGTACAACATCACAAACTCCCTCACCAGACGTCTGGATTCATAAATATCAAAAAAAAAAAAGCATTTTTTATATATTTTGTAATCCAAAAAAACAAATCAACGCCAATAAAAAAAAACAAATAGGAAGAAAAAGAGATATGAACAAATCAATAGCCTTCAAGGCTAGTTCTCCTACCACTGGCCGATGACAATCTCCGTACCTCTTCCCTACTCATATCCTCCAACGACGAACATACTCGTGGCGGAAACACTGGCGGGAACACGAGCGTCCGTCCCCTTGTGGGCGAAACTGACGGTCGTCGTGGTGGAGGCGACGGTGAGAAACTCGTCCTCGGCGGCGCTGCTGCCGCCGGGGTCCAAATGATAGTGTTGAGACTGCTTGATCTTCCCATATGTTTCCTTAGCGCGACTGGTGCGGGCTCTCTTAAAGGGAACCTACACGAGTACTTCATGTCCTGTATGATCTTGAGCTGATCCACTATGTTTCTCATGGTGGGACGCTCCGATGGCTCCACCTGCAGACATTTCTGTGCTATATCCGCTATGCTCCGCGCCGCTTTCGCCGGAAACCGCCCTTTAAGCTGAGGATCCATTATAAGCGAGAGCCTGCAATCGTCTGCTAAAAAAGCTCGGCTCCATTTCACCAAGTTCCTTTCTTCTTTCGGGTGTGACCCGTCCATGTTTTTACGCCCCGTCAACATCTCAAGAAGGACTATTCCATAGCTCCACACGTTGCTCTTCGGTGTCAGAAGCCCTCTCTCTAGCGTCTCCACCGAGAGATTCGCAAGCGCTGAGCTATTAGAGGTCTCCGTCTCCGGCGCATGGCCTACGCAACCGTATCCTGAAAGCTTCGCGCTGAAATCTTTATCGACTTGGATATTGGCCGTCGAAAATTCATTGTACATTGCCTGTTAACAACGAATAGGATCAATCACTAAATACTCGATATCACAGATAACTCGTAACTTTCACAATGTTGCTTGGCCTTTTTTTGTGTATGTACCTGAAACGGGCCTTCTTCGTGTAAGAAGGTTAGACCCTGAGCTGCGCATAGAGCGATCTTCATTCTAGTGTTCCAGTCAAGCGGAGGCCCATCTGATCTCCCGTGAAGCAGCCGGTCCAAGCTTCCATGAGCAAGCCTCTCGTACACCAACATTCTCGTGTCAGATCCATCACGGGCGTGATAGCCTACCAATTTGCACAGATTCTGGTGTTGCAGCGACGCCAATGTGTTCACTTCATTGATAAACTCCCTCATACTCTGCAGAATATATATAATAGTGAATAGTAAGAAAACAAAACACATAGATATCCTCAGTATTCAAATGGTAACATAACAACGAGTGTTTTATTTACCTGAGTTGTCACGTGAAGTCGCACAACAGTTGCCTCGACCTTCTTTAAGCTTGCGGTCGAGGCCTCGTCACCAAAGGAGGCCATGTACATAACAGATGAAAGACCTTCCGAGACGCACCGGTCTGAAGCAAAAGCGCAACAAGCAGATACAACTTCATCATACGTGAAGCTCCTAACTGTCCCGCTACGTGGCAAAGGCAGAGGCCCAGATGCGGCGGATGATAACCTCCCGCTGCTTCCGTTAAACGATTTAAAGCTTCCCCAATTCTTCAGCGAAGAGCCAGTCTTTGGAGACGGTAGCGGAAGCGGTTGTGGGATAGTTTCTTTCGTAGAGCTGCGAGGCTCTCTCGGCTGCTCATCTTGCTCCTCGGTGTTGACTCCTGCAAGAAAGTCCCGTTCCGCTGCACCGTGAATGCTTGACGGAGCAGACATCACTCTTGCCCGGCTGCTCATCTCCCCGGCTCCACCGTTACTTGAGTGAATGGGCTTCACTCGTGTCCTGAAACTCGGAGGAGCAGATTGTAGATTACGACTTGGAAACTTCGGTGGCTCCGGTAAAGCAGTTGGCTTGCTTTCTTCAATATCCAACCGCTTCATAGAAACAGAGCCACGTTTCTTCTTGCCTTTCAAAGGGAAACACCCCAGAACCATCTTTTCAATTCTCTTAAATGTGACGGATGTTAATTAGCAGAAGAGATATATACATAAACCTCGAGCCTTCGAGTGCATATGGCTCACAATTTCATCTGAAAATGATTCAAACACACAAACTTTTAGCGACAGAAACAACGATATACACATAAAGACGCGGTCTTTTAGAAAACCCAGATCCGTTTTATGCATGTGTTAGATCAATGGTCGAAGGAACTGTTCAGGTAAAACAATGATGTTGATGAAGTCATATTTCTGTAGAAATGGATTAAATCTGAGTTATAGATCTCGTGGTTTAAAAACCATTGTTTGATAGAAAGCAAGCACATAATAGTTTTATATAAACCCTAACTCTACCAGTGATAGAGCTAAATTGTAAAGATGAAATAATTATAATCTCGTACACGCTTTCGATATGTTCAATGACGACATCCATTAGATTTAACTCCGGTGACAACGACAATAAATCCAGGAAATCATTCAAAGGCATTATCATTGGATATTTCAATTCACGGATTCAATTCTACTTTTAAAGTGAGCTGATTCGTGAAATCATAGTGGTCGTTTAAGCAAAGTCTTAAGAGAGATCAAAATCTGTTCCTTGGAAAAATCATTATCCGAAAGCAAAAGAATAGAAACAATAAAACAAAAACGTGAATTCGATCTACGAAAACTAAAGCAGAGATAAGACAAATTTGTTCAAACCTGGAAGGAACAAGAGCCGGAGAAAATTCTTAGGAGACGAAATTGAAACTGCGGCGAGAAAGAGAGAGAGAGAGAGAGAGAGATGAAAAATGAGTGAAAACGAAATGGGAAATTTCTGAGAAGAAGAAGGAAACTCATAGGGTTTGTTTAGGAAAGTGAGAGATATTAGAGAAAGAGAGAGAGAAGGAGGTGGGACCCAAAGAGGCAGTGGTCAAAGTTCAAACCAAACAGATATCCAAGATTTATTATTACTTAAACTCTCCCAATCCTTAATTCAATTCCTCAGCTAACTACTTTGGAATTTTCTCACTTTACTTTATATTCCTCTTTCGCCCTCCACTTTTTGTTTTCTTCTCTATAACCTCGTTAGAATATCATATACACTTAAAAGATACAATATTTTTCTAAACAAAATAAAGATACATTCGTTCAAGGACAAACTTAAAAATACAAAATAATATTATGAGTCGTCTTTCTGAATTTCAAATATAGATAATTTTTCTTACGAATCTGGAGCCAATGCCACGTGTGGATACATGTACAGCCCTTTAATAATTTCCTTTGAATCACACTAACAGCGACATGGACTATTTATTTATTCTGACTGTAATTTTGACACGAAATTTTCATATTTAAATTAATACTATATAAAATCGATTAGGAGGCAAAATTGTAAAATCGAAGAAAGCCTAAATTTCCAGTAAAGAGGGCCTCGAGAAAAGCGACATCTCAGTCAAACTTGGAAAACTAGTTTTGTCCTTTTTTAAATTATTCTGTTCAATAAAAATAGGCTGTATCATCTAATTGGGTTTTGTTTTCTGGTCAAATGGCTAATTAGATAGGTTGTTGACTTTAATATCACAACCGTTCATATAGATCACAGTGCGCCTTATCAACGGTTGAAATCCTGTCACGTCTTGCTAACGTAGGACCCGCTGACATCGTTCTTGGAAGATTTATTTAAAATAATAATAAAACAAAAGAATAAAATTTAGAAAAGGGTTAAGCACACGCGCCCTGCACGCGTGCGACGGAAATCTTTAACTCAATTATCGACAACAGAGGACACGTGGGGTCCCCTCAAAACCACTCTCAATCTTTTCACCTCTCTTTCTTCTACTTCCCGAATTTACACTTCTCAAGTATTTGAAATATACTGGAAATTTCCACAGATTGTTATAGTAATTTTTTTCTTATAATTTTTTTCTTATAATTTATCACGTAATCGCAAATAATGCTACATTTTAGTTTTTTTTTATCCGATTTTTTTCTTTTACTTTTACTTTGCCAAATGTTTGTACTTCACTTAACTCATAGTTTTTTGTTGTTGTTTCTCCTAAAAGTGGTATTTTTATCTTTATCAACGAAAGTGTTATGTTTTTATTCTTTTATATTCCTGTTTTGGCAGAGCTTGCTCTTGGCATTTTCCGCTTTTTCGTGGGCATTGTATAACCAGCCTAAGTTGCATATATCATCAATTTTTTATATATATATATATATATATCATCAATTTTTCGTATATTAGACTTTTCAATTTTCAATGATAATTTTAGTTGTACTTGCCTTCTATCGGTTTTGTAATACAAGTGCGTATGCAGTATGAGTAGTCAAAACATATTTGAGCTTTTAGCTTTCCATATCATACCCTTTTTATAAAAAAAAAAAAAAAAAATCATACCCGTATCAGTACGCATAACTAATACTGAGAAATTACACCCTGTAAGTTACTTATCCATTAAATGGGATAGGTTCTCGCGAATCACAAATGATAATTAATAAAAAAAATCTTTAATGATTGAATAGCTTAAAATAATTTGAACACTAGTATGCACGTTTTCTAGGATTTTTTCGTTGGTACGAAATTGAATACTTTTCTGGTTTTATCTATTTTTTCGGCGAATACTTTTCTCCTTATACGTAGACTTTTTGAGTTTTGTTGGAATATATAATTATGGTTTGAACGGGGTCGGTTTTGCTTGGATGATATATGTTGAACCAGCCACATAAAAAAATGATTTTGACGTTTGACTAATTATTATATCACTGGTGAGAAATTATTAATTTTCACTGTTTCTGCAAAGTTTTTTTTTTCCTATTAAATTTGAAAGGATTTCTTGAAGTAATAACTGTTTTTCTTTCTACGGATAAGAACATAGTGGATTTCTACATCACATAAATGTAATATATTTGATTTCTATAAATGTTTATTGATACAATGATATCTTGATAAAATAAATCGACGATTCATCTTGAATGCAACAAATATGTATAGATCATGCAATTATTCTACACGTAATAGAAATGATGGTTGATAAATCATTTACTTAAAAATTGAATTTTCAGTCAAAATCAATCCTTATCTGAGACAAATATTCAAAGTGAAATTAAGGAGAAGACTTATTGCTGAAAAAGAAAAGAAAAAAGGTAAAAATGAAGCCGATTTTATTATCAGGCCCACAACATTAACCCAAAACAAAAGTCCCAAGCTCCAACCCAAATATCGAGTTTGGAGATGAAGTTGTGATTGTACTTGCAAAGAGTAGCCCAACGAACCGAACAACTTACACTTACAGTATGTGATAGTCTTCATCAGATTATTTCTCAGTGATCTTTGAGGAACAAGAATAACTAAAAGCCTGATGTTTTCTTATAAACATGCTTTCATATATATTACTATATGGATTGGTGTTCTTCATGCCCCTGGTTTTTAGTCGCATTTATTGAAGCAAGTTTACTTCACAGTTTGCAGTGGATTTTTGGCTGGTAACAAAACATAACGAATGTTTTTCACACTTGATCGAAAATTGAATGTGGAATATTACGCATTTTAATAATTGTTTGTTTGAGTGTAACGGTAAGTAGGGGAAGATGGAGAAAAGTATAAGGTTAAGATATATTTATTGGTCTGATGTCATAGTAAGTGCATAGATAGAAGGGACGATACATCACGGAGTAACGTAATTACTAGCAAACCACATGTCCTAACTTATTATTGGCTTCATAATATCTTGTACTAGTAGTAGCTTCCATTATAATATTCTGCCGCTTTCAGTTAATACTGTAAAAAAAAAAACAGAAGAAAGAATAAGTGACTAATAATATTTAATAATGTTTTTTCGTTTCGTTATAATTCGTTACAGAGGGGTTTTTTTTTACCTGTCGCAGTTGGTGGAAGGGCTGATACTGTAAGGGAGTTTAACACCACATTTAGCAGGCAAAGACAGAGCATTGTTGAGGTTGCTAGGAGTGAAACTGACTCCTGCAATAGCATTCTTGATGCAACGACAGACGCTCTGACGGTCCACAGCGGTTTGAGCCTGACCGTTGAGCGCTCTGACACCGTTGCAGCAGCCGTCTGGGACGTTTCCGCCTTGAATTACGTAGTTTAAGCAAGGGTAAAGGTCTCCAGCCACGGTGTTGCAAGACACGGCTGCTTCACCACAGTGCAAAGCAAGAACCAGACACACGGCCACTAAGAGAGATCTCATGTTACTTTCTGTGATAAGCAAAGGGTAAAGCTCTGTGTTTGTGTCTTTTGGTTAGGGTTAGAGAATTAAGAGGTTATATATATAGATGGAAACAGTTTAGTGCTGGTAGTTGACAAGGAGTGATTGCGAGGACAGAATTAGTTGTGGATGAATTTAATGTTTTTATCTTCATACAATTAAGATCCAACCCCTTCTGATTCAATTGCATTTATATGTTTTTAACATTCCAAATTCCCATCTTAACCAATTAAAGAATAAAAAAATCAATAATTATGAGATTGGTAGCTGACAATAGTCACTAAATTAAATACCGATTGTCAGCTAAAATAGGGGCACCGAGTTAACTCGCAGTTCAAATTGCATTAAACTTTGAAAAAAGTGATGAGTAAAGTGTGTGGGGTTCGTTACATGTTGTCGTTAGAAGTAATTAAAGATAGCACAAAGATGAAGAAGCATCAACTACCACTATGAGATGTGTGCCCAATTGATTGCTTGCTAAGCAAGACCGTTTTTGTTTGGTTTCCAAACTCCCAATTATGTTCGATCTTTATTATTCAGAAGAAATATTCATTCTTACATTCAGTTCTGATCCCGACTTGTATTTATGAATAATCAATTGAATACCAGCATATTAATCGAAATTACACAATCACTTGATTATATTTCTGAATCAATTATACAAGGTCCAATTATAAAGGCTTTAGTTTTTCGTTGATAATTCTTCCATAGTTTTCTCTGAATCCTTTTTAGGCCACACCGATGGTTACTACTTTGGTGAACAAGACTTGACGTTTACATTTAGGAAAAATAATCAAAAATCACTTTGGACAGTTTACATTAAAGCACAAAGCAATTTCATTTCCTCTGGCAGTCATAAGGAATGAGGAACTGGAAAGGCATCAAGAGGAACTCTCGAATAGGAAAATCATCAAGGAGCTGATGATACACCAAAACACGTATGTATATATACCTGAACAAGGACGTCGCAGCAGAGAAATTCGGAAACATGACCTCAAGCCACCATCATGTTTTGTTCCGTATTATGTCTCATAGCATGCGACATGTTACATCAGGTCTTCTAAAGGAAAGTTCCCTCTTCAAAAAGTTCTACAGAGTAACAGAAAGATGTTAGAGATAAACTGTGATCAGATCAGAGTCACCACACAGTGACTAACTTACCCCTGTTTCTAGCTGTTATTATCTACTTAATCTTGTCAATCGTTACTATTCTGGTATCTCGATGAATCTTCAGTACGCATCTACTTAGCTAGTACTAATTTCCTCAACACATACATGCCCATTTATAGAAATTCTCTGATATGATTTAATCCTCTTCTTGACTGAATCAACTCAATTGTCTTATATTGAACTATAAACGTTCTTTTGATATGGTAAAGTTACAGGCTTGATATGCTTCTATGTTCACTCCTCTGACATAAACTAGCCATACAAGAAAAAGAGACCTCTTGTGAATCCGTGATAAAGCAATCTAGCCAGCAAAGGTTTAACTAGGAAACAGTCTACATATATTCCAATTGCGTTAGCCAGTGTTCTCAGCTGAGTTAGTTGAATGCAGGAGAGGAAACAAATAAAATACCTGGAGCCAAAAAACAGGAACACAGGAGAAGCTTCATCGATCGATTCTTGCAAATCGGTATCTCCACTTCCGATTATGATTATCCTGAAAGAACCAAGCAAGATGATATATTGGTACAATTCGGGGCATTTTGCTAGAAAAGAATCAATAGCAGGACAAAACCTAGGCTTTAGACTTTGTGCAACTTAAAGTATCAACAAAACTTGAATTGATGAATTCTTAGATTGAAGAAGGCTTTGTACCAGTTCAAGTACCCTAGCCGAGCTCTTCTCAACCTCCGAAGCCAAGCTCTCGACCTTCGCCAGCATTCTCTCATACATTTCTTCAATCCCGCCTGTATAGTTCGCAGCTTCAGCTCCAACCAAACGTTTCAAGTTTTCCACTTGTAACCCATCTGCTAATGCATCCATCTCCTTCTGATCCTTCATTGCTTGTTTCTTCGCACTTAAAGACCCTTCGTCCCGGTCCTCGTTCATGGCCGAGCTATTCAACTCGCAGATCAACGATGGAAATCCCGATTTCGGACTAAACGAGCCGTAATGGCCGCGAAACGCCGGTCCGATGTTGACTATGCCGAGAGATCTCGGTTCGAGCCGTTGGTTCGAGGAGCGGAATTGGTACGCACGGTACTCGTGCGTATGGATTAACTGCTCTGTCGACGGCGTAGTAAGAAGGAAGAACACGCAGGAAGCCATGTTCGTCGATCTGGGGTTTTCCGAGTCCTCGATCGGTATGTGAAATTGAGATGAGAGAGACGACGCGACGGCTAACTCTCGCATGGAGGGACGGTTGGCGGTTTTTCTGCGGGAGGAGAACCAGCCAAGCAGGCGGTCAGGCGAGGCGACTCGGAGGGAGTCGACCCGACGCGAGTCAACTCGGCCAAGCAAATCATAGAAGGAGACGGTTTTACCAGAGCAGATAAAGCTTGTAACGGTGGCGACAATTTGATCAGATGAGGAACTGGAGGCGGACGATTCCGCCGGAGAATCGTCGGATAGGTTAGTTGAGACGATTCGATGGATTTGACCGAAGATCAAGCCATCGACGTCAGCGGGAGAAGAGGACACACGTTGAATCAGCGACGCCAATGTTGGACCTGAAATCTCGATTCTCTCTAGAGAGATGTCGTCCATGGCGACGAGAAGAACACAAAAGAGGGAAAGATGTGTGAAGTCACTGAAAATCTCCGTGCCCAAACGTAATAATCCAAGTCTACAAGATTTACACATTAAGACGACGTGTCGTCTCGTGTTTCAAGTGATGACTAGCGTGTCGTTTTTATGAAAGAAAAACGGTATAAGTTATTCACCTCACCTAAGCTCAATCAGGTTGAAAAACATTTTCTAAGAAAATATGAAAGGTCAATTAGTTCCTTAATCTTCTGCTTTGATGTAGCAACGGTGTTTACAAGTGTCGCCATATTATTTTTTGCAAATTAAAAGAAGAGAAACAAATCATGCTTAATACTTACAAGGAAGAAAACAAATCTTAGTTAGAAAACCAACAAAAAAAAAAGAACAAACTCCATAGTGTGGGAGTTTTGAAGGAGATAACAAAAAAAAAACAAAAGATGGTGCACCCTTTGGTTGATAGAGCAACAAGCGATATGCTTATAGGTCCTGATTGGGCCATGAACCTCGAGATATGCGACATGCTTAATCATGAGCCTGGGTAACACCCTTTTTCACTATCTGTTTTTCTATGATCAGTGATGAATCCGTGATCCAATATGCATTTGTGATAGTTATTGTGTTTATGGATGGTTCACATTTGGATTTGGTGTTTCTTGGTTCTATACCGATTTTGGCCTTTTGTTTATGTGATATAAAATTGTGTGTTTTGTAGGCAAACGAGAGAGGTTGTGAGTGGGATAAAGAAAAGGCTTAGTAGTAGGACTTCCAAGGTTCAGCTTTTGGCTCTGACTGTAAGTTCTATCTGCCGTTTGTTTTGAGGTCTAGATACACATGCATGTTTCAGTTTGGTTTGGTTTAGCGGTTTGAAGAATTTTGGAATTTGACTAGAACCAGATGTTGTTCGCAAATTGAGATCAGAACTGAGATTAGGTTTGTATGCAACCAACCAATAGTCTTTAGACAATCACTTGTTAACCTTCTTTCTTTTTTAATTTAATTCCATGAGAAAACTACAAACATATTTTTGGGATTGTTACTATTGTAGTTGCTAGAGACAATAATAAACAATTGTGGGGACCTTATTCATATGCAAGTTGCAGAGAAGGATATTCTTCATAAGATGGTGAAGATGGTCAAAAGGAAGGTCAGGTCTATGATTCTTTTTCACTATTGTTTTATTCATTAACATCTTATAATCAATCTTTTGTTTTTTGGGGGACACACCAAAGTTATTAATTATGTTGTTTGTTAAAAACTTGTAGCCTAACATCCAAGTGAAGGAGAAGATATTGATACTTATAGATACTTGGCAAGAGAGCTTTTCAGGTCCACAAGGAAGACATCCACAATATTATGCAGCATACCAAGAATTGTTGGTATGTTTCTTTTAGGCTGTAACATGCCCATTTAAACCGAACAGTGACATGGTTAGAGTTTTAGGATTTCATTTATTTTATATTTGTGTATTTGCAGCGTGCAGGAATTGTATTCCCGCAAAGACCTCCAACCACAATCAGTTCAGGACAAACTGGTCCTACGACAACGTTTCCTCGGAATTCTCGTAACGCTAGACAAGAAGTTATTGATACTTCTACAGAGTCAGAATTCCCAACTTTGAGGTGTTTATCTTAACTAATTATATCGCCCGTTGTTTTCTTGAAATTTTGAAAATAAAATAGCTTTTTTTTGTTTGTTGAAGTTTGACAGAAATTCAAAATGCAAGAGGAATTATGGATGTCTTAGCTGAAATGATGAACGCAATAGATGGAAACAACAAAGAGGTATTTTTTTAATCTTTTTTTGACATCCAAATTCTAAAAAGAAAAAGTTTATAACTTTTTGGTAACATTGGATCTCCATATGAATAAATGTTTTTATAAAACTTTTGCAGGGACTTAAACAAGAGGTTGTCGTGGATCTTGTTAGCCAATGTCGCACCTATAAACAAAGAGTCGTACACCTTGTAAACTCGACATCGTAAATATCTAAAACTATTATTTGTAACATTTTGTTTTTTTTAGAACTCGATTATTTTTGACTAATATATGATTTTGTATACCCGTTTTTTCTGGTGTTCATGTTTTAGAGATGAATCGTTGCTTTGCCAAGGCCTAGCTTTAAATGACGATTTGCAACGATTACTTGCGAAGCACGAAGCCATCGCTTCTGAAAACATTACGAGAGAGAAAAGTAAAAAAGAAGTTCCTAAGGACGCAGCCCAGATCATAGATGTTGGTTCAAGGTAAGTTATCAAACGTTTTATTTTTCCAATGAATAATCATTTAGAAGAGGAAAGATACTTGTGCAGCAAGTTGCGCTCATGACTAAATGAAAGTTGTAGCAACACATTTTGGCATTGGTCTAGAGCTAGTGTTTTAGGTTAACTGGTCATTACATTCTAAAATGTTTTGAACTTCTTTTTGCAGTGAAACCAAAGATAGTAGTGCTGTGGCTTCTGTAACCAATGGTCCAAAAATAGATCTTCTTAGTGGAGATGATTTTCAGACAGCGAACGCAGAAAACTCATTGGCTCTTGTTCCTCTTGGACCTCCACAACCAACTAGTCCCGCAGCAACGCCAGACAATTCCATCGTCTTGATCGACATGTTATCAGATAATAACTGCGAAAGCTCTACACCAACTTCGAATCCACACTCGAATCAACAGATGGTGCAACAACAGCACTACTCGAATGGATTCGGAGCAGTCCATCAAGAACAATCTTTTTATGGAGGACAAGGACCACCTGGTCCGGTCTGGAATCTCCAAATTTCACAACAACCATCTTCTCCTGCTTACGGAAACCAACCCTTTTCGCCTACCTTTAGCCCGCCTGCCTCTCCTCACCATGGTATTCATTCATTCATCTACTACTCTGCTTTACCATCTTGGTCTAATAAAACTCAAAATACTAAACTCTGGTTTGTTATCTCTATAAGGTGGACAAAACAACTATGTTCTGGCACTACCTCCACCGCCATGGGAAGCTCAATCTCCAAGCTCTAGCCCTCAATACTCTCCTACTCATCCAGTGCAAGTGACTCAAGTGGTCATCACCACGCACACTCATCAACCACTCGGTTACAACCCTCAAGGTGGCTCTCCTCATGCTGCTAACAACAACATGTTCGGTATGTTCCTCCCTCCAACGACAGGAGGCCACATGTCACCCTTTGGCCACAACCCAAACGTCACAAACAACCATCATAACCCTGCTACTGCCATGTACGGAGGCTACGGAGGACAACTTCAGCCACCACAACAGTATCTCGTAGAACAACAAATGTACGGAATGTCTCTACAGGACAATGGAACCAACCATACTAATCCCTACCAAGTTGCTTCTCATCCTTCGGCTCTTAATCATCCACCAATGATGAAACCTATGAACAAGAAACCAGAGGAGAAGTTGTTTGGGGATCTTGTTGACCTCTCCAAGTTCAAGAAACCCACTCCCGGTCGAGCCGGTAGTATGTAAAACCCACATTTTTTACCTTCAAAATTAGATATTCCATGTTTTCAAAATTCTACTTAAAACTTTTTTCAGAAAATAATTAGTATCGAATTGTTATTTTGTCGCCAAGTGAATAACGAGTTAATCAATTTTCTTCTTCTACTGTATCTCGGTGACGGTGTTGAGCTATATAGATAAATAATTATATAAAGCTTCGTCGAGGTTGAGATTCCCTCTTCGTCTTCTACATCAATGGAAACGGACGACTCTGAATCACTCTCTCTCCACACTCTAGCTTCTGTTAGGTCACTCATTTTCAACGCCGACACTCCCAACTCTGTAATTTCCTCGGTGTTCGACTTTCTTACTGGTCTTCTCAGTCGAGACGACCCAGCGATACTTCACCACCACGTCCTCAAGCTCCTCTCCGACCTTTCCTTTTCGAGAAAGGAATTAGCAACACAGATCTTCGACGCGGTCCTCTCCAACTTGCTCCGCCTTCAAAACTCCGCCGCCAATGCGAGCCACGGACGCGTCGCCGTGGAATCGCTTGCTGTGCTGGCGTCGTTGTCCGAGATCAACCCTAGCATCGCCGCCGCGCTTTCCAAAATTGACGGCCAGGGATTTGCGTCAATCTGCCTCGGAGCACCTATATCTTCTCGGCTGTGGCTACTTAGGAACGCGGAGAGGTTCTATGTCCCGGCGTCCGTACTTTTCACCTTGTTCTTAGGGTTCACCAAGGATCCGTATCCATATATCAGAAAATTAGCTCTGGATGGACTGATCTACATATGTAAGGCCGGTGACTTCGATCACGCCCATGCCGTACAAGGTTGCTATACTCGTGCTGTTGAGCTTCTAGGCGATGCTGAAGATAGCGTCAGATCTTCTGCAGTTCGTGCCGTAAGTATTTATGATTGATGAGATTGCGATTGAGAGAATGAATTGTTGTAAGCTGAAAATTTTGATCATATCTAATTGGAGGTTGGCAACTTTTTGAGTGTTCAGGTCAGTATGTGGGGCAAAGTGTTGATAGCATCCAAGGTAGAGACGAACAGAAGAGAGTATACAGATGCTGTGTTTCTCCAGGTAACAACTTCTGTGGCGAAGTCTTTTATCAGATCGTTTCTCAGTGATCTTGAGGAACTAGAGAAACCAAATGCCTGATGTTTTATAAACATGCTTTCAGCTTTGTTCTATTGTGAGAGATATGAGTGTAGACGTGAGGGTTGAGGTCTTCAGGGCACTTGGGATAATAGGGACTGCATCAGAAAGCATTATACTGCAAACACTTTCCAAAAAAGTGTTGGGGGCCGGAAAAGGGAAGAAACCACAGAATCATCTTTCGAATGAATCAGCTGATGTCACTGCTGCAGCTGGAGTTTTCATCCATGGTTTTGAGGATGAATTCTACGAGGTATTCTTATGATGACAAAGTTCCTTTCTTGTCTTGTTTGTGCATACCTGTTAAGTAGGATTTTGTAGAAAAGATTCAGCTGGATTTTTTTTTATTGTTTCTGGACTTATACGGCGTTTACATGCGTTATTCTGAAGGTACGGGAAGCTGCGGTTGACTACTTCCACTCCCTCTCAGTAAATTCTATCGAATTCCCAGATGAAGCTGTATACCTATTGATGGATATGCTATACGATGATTATATGATTGTCAGGTTGAAAGCTTTAAAGGCATTGCATCATATAGCAGAATTGGGGAACTTGAAGATACAGGAAACTTATATGCCCGCCGTAAGTTACCATATCCATTTACCCTTTTTTTTTACTGTAGAGCTGGTTAGGTAAAATGCTACTGAGAATGCAGATGCAATACTTCGAAAGTTTGGTGTCTTGTCTCGACTGATTCAGGTTTTATGCAAATGAGAATTGTTTACCTTGTGGGTCCTAATGCTTAATGAGATTAAGTTAGCTACTAAACTAATCTGGCTGCCACTGGCTCCATTTATTACCTCTTGGTTCTATTTGACTATTTCTTTGCTATGAGTTGTGATAAAGACCTGCTGCTTGGCTTTGCAGTTTTTGGATGCTATTGTTGATACTTCTGAGGACATAAGACTTACGGCTAGAAACATTCTTAAATTGGCAAAGCTGCCTGATCTGAAGCTGGTCAACAAATGTGTTGATGGTGTCCTAAAAAGTTTAGAGATGTATCCACAGGTTGGCATACTTACCTACAAAGATCAAGTAGCTTCTGATTCCATCAGTTCTTCTTTTTCTTCTTCTGAACCTCACTTTTCTTGCTGTTTCATGCTAGGACGAACCTGTTATCTTGTCTGCTCTGTTCCATTTCGGTCAAAACCACACAGATTTCTTAGTCAGTATGGTCAAAAGATTTTGTGAAAAGGTAAGCGAGCATTTTCTTTTTAGGACTTGTGAACTAACTATAGGCATACAAATCATGTCTTCGCTTACTCTGTCATTTCTTCTTCAGTTAGAGGCAGCTTCCGGAAATAAATCTGAATTCACCAGCCGGCAGGTATCTGCATCTCTGATGCTGATAATATCAGCCCCTCTCTCTGACAAACAAAGCGTCACTTCAGTGCCACTTGTGGCTTTTTCATATTCACTTGCAATGCTGGGGAAATTCTCTTGTGCACTTCATGATATGATGGACCAGGATACGCTTTTGGCTTACTTGACTCATTGCGCTATTCTTTCTGCTTCTTTGGGGACAGAATTGAACAAGGGAGGTATATTTTTTCATGCGTATAGGGACAGTAATGCAGATCTTAGCGGAATCCCCGTCCTCCTACCGAGCAAAGATATACCTGAGAGCAATCACATGGCTTCCAAAGCAGAACTGGAAAATAGAAATCACGCACTGAAGTCTGATAACCATATACTGTTGAAAGTAAAGGCTGCTTGGTTATTATCACAATCAGGATGCTCGAAAGAAGCACTCCGAGCGTTGAGGTTTTACATCTTACAATCTATTAAATCTTTAGCTTCTGTATTACGACTGTTTCATGTGTACTCTAAATAATGTGCTTCTTGCCTCCTTGTCCAGGGCTTGCAAACAGGAGTTACAAACAGCCAATTCTTCAATCTCCAATGGTGCATTAGAATTTATGTGTCAGTACGTTCACATAATAGAACTTCTCGCTCAGGTGTGGCCTCATTTCGAATACTCAAGACACACCAGCACGTGTAAATCTGTAGAACTGGGACTACTGATGGAAGAGGTAGAGAAAAAAGTTATGGAGATGAGGTGTAGATTCACAGGCCTGTCTACGGAGGTCTCGCTGGTAATGGAGCTAGTGATTTTTGGTTGCTTGATAAGGCTGTATAAATTTGAAATTTGCTGCCGCCTTAGCTCCAAGAAGAAGCTAGCATCAACAGTATCTCAATTGGAGCTCCACCATGAACAACAATGCAGCAAACCATCAGATTTTCTAACTGAAACTAAGAAGTCATTGCAGGAGATTGGGAGTTATGGTGATATAAATTGCTGTCGAATCCTGGATCTCATCAAGAAATACAATTGCTTCTCTCTGGAACAGTTTACCTTCTCTGGTAATCTGCAGTGTGTCAGTGCAGAGCTCGAGGTTCCTGGTAATGGTCCTCACAGTCCGATTTCCTTTGTGGCTGGACTACCAGTGGCTATACCGTGCGAGATCACGCTGCAAAATGTGCCAAGAGATAGCTGTTTGTGGCTGAGAATATCCAGAAGCGATGAAACTTACCAGTTTGTGTACTTGGACCCAAGCCTATACAATGGAGATGAGAGAGAGAAGAAGAGGTTCATGTTTAGTGCTGGAACTTACATGACCCCGAGGGCTGTTGTGTTCACATTGCGGGTCTCAATAGGCATAGAGTGTTTGTTTGAAGACGTTTGTTACAGAGAACGGCGTCATGGTCCGAAGCATCCTGTGGCCTACCTGTCTAAGGAAAGAGAAGTTCACCTTTCCTTTGTTTCAAGAGCCTAAGCTCTCTAGTAACCTGTCACGGCTGTCTGTTGAGGCTAAGGACCAAGAGAGATTAGGATTCTTGCATCGGTTGACATGGGATTTGCGATGCGTCTCAACATAGAACTGCCTGATCTGTTTCTTTTTCCAATAAGCTCTGCGGATGGTTCGGTTTTCAATTAGAGTTGGAAGAAGATCCGGGTGTTACTATTTAGTACTAGTATTTAGTTGTAACTGCTGATAAAGCTAATGCCACTAGCCAGTTTACAGTTTCCAACAGAGAAAATTAAAACCATGTAATTATGAATATAGTCGATATTTACCGTAAGCTGGACATTATCTACATGAATTCAAGAATTTATATAGAATATTATTTGGAGATTTGTAGTTGAATGAAATCATTTAGTATCCCAAACAACAAAGGAAAAAGACACAAAAGTATATTAGCAAGATAACACACACACGTTCAAGCCTTGTGACGCATTCATCAAACAGTGGCAGCAAGAACCTTGACTATTTGGGATGAAGAGGGTGAGAGTGTAAGCACATGATCAACCCACTCAACTTTGCCCCGGATTTCACAGTTTTTGCGCTTCTCAAGCGCAATCACCGCACACCAAATCGTCTTGTTTAAACCCAAGGGCTCGCCCCAGAAAACAGCCATCTTTCCACCATAATCAGCCAATCTAATCCCTCTATTATCAAGAGGGAGCTTAGGGAGTCCTACTAAACCCTCCAGCTTTCTCCACTTGCTAACCTCAGTGTCATACCAACGTATCTCTCCGCGAGAAACAGCGTACAAAACGTTATCTATCTCACAATTAGAATCTGTATCCATGAGAAATAATTCACGCATCTCCTCCGGTGCAACCGCGTCCCATCTACCTTGCTTGGAATCGTAAGCAAACACCGTTATGCCCCGGTAATGAGTGCACCACATGGAACTTTCTGTCAATACATGTGGTTGGCTTCAAAATGTAGCCATTTTCCAAGCTCCAAGGGATGGGCACAGGATCCCAAGTCTGTGTTTCTGTGTCGAACACAAAGGCCAATTTCTTATAGTAACCAGAACCACCATCATCGACATCAGAATCGCTTCCGGCTAGATATATCTTTTGATCAACGATGCTAGTAGAAAATAACGGCCCTAGCGTCACCGGTAAGCTTGGAGCGGGGCGCCATGTGTGAGACCGGCAATCCAGTCTCGAGACGGGGATTGGTTCGAACTTTTGTGGGTTAATGCAGTAGATATCAGAACCAACCACCACGATACCATGAAAATACGCGTAGCCAAAGCATACCCACTTGACTTGCTCTGCTCATTCTTCTTCCAACGGATGTCATCGTTTAGGATGGTTTCATCAGGTTTCCGGCAGAGGGTGTACCAGCGATCATGACGATAGCCGCTAATGTACACATAGAGACAACTCTCGGTGCGGCCCAGGAGTGATCGGACCTTGTAAAGCTCCGGTGAAGCAATGAGAGATCGAAAGCCCTTGGAGACGAGGGAGAGAGTCGGATAGTACAACCTCGAGATGCGTACGATGCAGCTCAACAACAAATCATAGGGAAGCGACGGAATCAGGGTCGATTCAGGCGTCGATTGCGGCTTTGGCGTCTGCTTCTTATTCGTCGTAGCATCTGTCTTCCTCTTCTTTGCCGGGGCCGACATTGACGAATCGCCGATAACCAACCTCTCTGGTATCAAGCCGCCGCAGTGTTGTTTACTCTTGAAAGGGAGAAGACGCTTGTTGGGCTTTATGGGCCGTTACAATATTGCAAGACTTGGATCATTTTTGCTCGTGGTTATTTGGGTCACATCCAAACAAAACATGTCATGGCCTTTTAACAAGGTGCTGCGTTTAAAGTGCTGCCTGTTGAGTGTTGACCCTGAAGGCCAGATAATGAACATAGTGAGACAAATCTTGCGAAATGCATCGTAAAGCCAATGCCACTAACCAGTTTTTTTTTATATTTAAAAGTGCCAGAAGACCTATAACAACTTCGTTTTCTATTCACAGGACAAAAGCATCCTCTATATCTTTCAAAAACGTCTAGTTACAAAACAACTAAACGACAAATGCAAAATTGCGATTTCTGTTTTTAAAAAATAAAGATTTTAAAATACAAATCGATTCCCGGTCTTTTCTTGACACAGTGAGCTCTCACCAGTAGTCATTGCAAGAACAAGAGCCGTTTGTAAAACAATGAAACCTATTGTTGTCTCTAACAACAATCTCTCTTCTCGTGATCTTCGATATCAGTTTCATCACTTCATGACAGTCTCCGCATACTCTTAGATTCTTCACCACTCGAATCACTTCTCCATGAACCGTACTGATCAGCCCCAACGCAACCGCAAGCTTCTCGCTGTGGTAACCCAAGACCGATTCCTTTTCTTCTTCTTCAACGTCGAACATAACACATTCCGTTGTTGGCACAAAACCCATAAGCCTCATTTCGTTACTCAAATCTTCTAGCTTTGCATATATCTTGTCGCTCAGAGGATGAGATTTATCATCCGCGAGAAACTCGTGGACCGTCCCTTCCAATTCGATCCAACTAAATCCAGGGATCTTCTTCATACCTTTCTTGTTCATCGTGTCTCTCACTTCAGCCGCCTCGTCCCATCTGCCACTAACCGAGTATATGTTGGATAGCTGAACGTAGTTCCCTGCATTCCACGGCTCCAGGGCGATGAGCTCTTTGAGAACGCGTTCTGCTAACCGAGTTTCTTTCACCAGTCTGCATCCGCTCAGTAACGCTCCCCAGATTATCGCGTTTGGCTTCATGGGCATATCGCGGATCAAGCGGTATGCGTCACCTAACTGTCCTGCTCTGCCCCAAAGATCTACCATGCAACCATAGTGCTCAACCGTGCGTTTCAACGAGTAAACACAGGTTATGGCGTTGAAAAACCGAAGCCCGTCTTGGATTAGGCCTGCGTGAACGCACCCACATAGCAGTCCGAGGAACGTGTACCCGTCAGGTGAGATACCAAGCTTTTCTGTTTGTGCAAAAACCGCGAACGAGAGCTTAACGTGGCCATTCTTGGCCAGGCCAGTAATTGCAGAGTTCATGATAACTCTATCCTTCTCCTTCATATCTTTGAACACTTGAAAACCTCGAGCCATAGCCCCACATTTCGCATACATGTCGATCAGCGCATTGCCCATAACCAGGTTGGTCAAGAACTCATGCCTATCAATTAAACTACTTCCCCATTCGCCTAGATCGAGCGCTCCTAGGCTCGCACAGGAAGAAAGAAACCCGACAATGGAGTACTGGTCCGGTTTCAGATCTTCCCGCAACATATGTAGGAATAACTCAACACCTTCTTTCGGGAGGCTGTTCGAGGCATACCCTTGTATCATAGTGCTCCAAGTAACTATATCTTTCTCCGGCATAGAGTCGAAAACAGAACGTGCTTTCTCCATCTTCCCAATCTTTGCATAGAGATTGACAAGCGCTGTGTGCGCATAGGAGTTCTTCCGCATCCCAATCTCTTCCACGAGCTTATCAATCCACTCTGCGCTGTCGAGATCCCCGACACGAACACAAGCAGTTAAAACCCGGACAATCAAATAGCTATCCGGTGTCACACCCATCTCCACCATCTTCTTGAGCAAATCAATAGCTTCTCTGTGCTTCCCGGCAGCGATGTACCCACTAACAAAGGCCGTCCACGAAACAACGCTTCTCTCAGGAATTTCGTCGAACAGTTTGTGGGCATCATCAAGACGCCCGGATCCAGAATAGACAGAGAGCAAACTCGTCATAGCGCAGACGTCGTGGTTAAAACCACATTTGACCACAAGAGAATGAAGGTCAATCCCGAGCTTGAGGTTCTGGGATCTGGTGCAGGCCTTGAGGACGAAAGGGAAAGTGAAACCATGGAGGGAGAGACCGTGTTTGCGGGTGGAGAGGAAGAGATGGAGGGTTTCGTGGAATAGATGGTTTCTGACGAAGCCATTGATGAGAGTGTTGTAGAGGAAAGTGTTGGGGAATTCGGTATGAGAGAAGAGGAGGAAGGAGTAACGGGTTTGGCCGAAGAAGAGAGTTCGCTTGAGGAGGAGGTTAATGAGAAAAGTGTCATGGTGGAGATCGTGGCGGATGATAGAGGCGTGGATATTCTTTAGGTGATTTACAGTGGATGCGACGGAGATTAGGACTTTGATTTGTTGAGCTTTCGATGCTGATGATGGGACGGCGATGTTCATGGCTTCCCTCTTTTAAACCCTTGTGTTTTTTTTTTTTAATCTCCCGCCAATATATCACCCTTGAAAACGGACAGCTTTTGTCGGGATCTTTTCGATTTAGTCTTTAACAATTTTTCTTCCGTGTTACTTTTGGTGAAATACTTTCAAATACAATCAAGCATCTCTAGTATAAATATATATCCATTTATTGTTTTGATATAGTGTATTTATTTATTTTATTTGACATGCATAAAGGATATGGACGGATAATCCAACAGAAAAAAAAAGATTGTTAGTTTTGTTAGCTGAGATTATCGAAAATCTTTACATAAAAAAATTGTTTTTAAAAAAACCCAAATATATAGATATATATATAGAATTGATGGAGCACAAGTTTATTACGATTAGGATTTAGTTTGTATTTTGTGTTTGGATTTCCTGTGTTTTAAAGGAATTGCTAGTTTTCCAATTCACATTAGGAGGATTATAAACCTCCTCTACGCGACTTATAAATAGAGAGAGTTAGTCCCTTGATTTGTTATTATTCATCATCTCAAATCAAGATAGATATAAAAAGAAAAAAAAAGAAGCAAAAAAAGAGGTAATTTTGGAAAATGGAGAAGATGATGAGTAAAAAAGATGTATTTATATGCAGAGGAATATGGTATATAATGACTCTCCTCTCGATATGTGGCCTCTATATATCATTCAATCTTCTCTGGCCAGCCGGAGGAAAGTCAACATCGTCATACAGGGACGGTGCGGTGAGTGCCACAACATTCTATGCAGTGATGCTACTCAGATATCTCTTCTTCAGCCATTCTCCTTCTCCTTGCTACAAGGTCTTGACTACAATAGAAGATGTGTACATTCAGGCTGTTGTCTCGAGTTTAGCCTTGGGTTTAGTCATGACACCACCGTTGTTGATCTATGAAGGGGTGACGAAGAATGTATCTGTGTTGGCCATGTTGTTATTCACCATCTCTTTGTTCACGGGAGGGATAGGGCTAATCCAGTTATCAGATAAACTTCGGATGGAGATGAGATATGCTTTGATCACGCTCTTCCTCGGATGGTTGTTTTGTTTTTCTGGCATCTATATATGTTCATATAATCCACACACTCCGAGATTGGCATTCGCACTTTGTTCAGGTTGTCAGTGGATGCTTTCCGTTTGTTTTTTTCTAAGTTATTATGTCGACGAAGACTTCATCAACAAGATGAACAACCCTCGTCTTCCTGTGTGAAAAAAAATAATCTATCAAATTTTATGTTTACTATTTTATTTTTTTTTTGTTTTTTTTTTCATTTAGGTGAGCATATTCGTTTTTTCTATTATGGAGTTTTTATAACTATATAATAATAATATGGATTTCTTTAACATTATTGTATATTATTTATTTATTTTATGATAACTTGAGACTAAATCCATCCACGACAATCAATTTATTTTTCTTAGCCAGGATAATTGATATTTTACCGTAATTGCGAAAATCTAAATGAACAAAACGTAAATACACAAGACAGATCTACACCGGAAGGTGACATTTAGTCCGACTACTCGAGACAATATACTCTTTCATAACATTGTTTTAGAACGAATATATCTATTTGACTATGAATATATCACACAGAACCTCGCCAACATAAGAATTGTGTCTTTCCATACTTGTGTCTCTCAAATATGAGTATTCAAACCGTAACTACCCGAACTAAAGTCATGGCTCTAACATACACATTTTGATATAACTTTATGATATTATGCAAGATTTAATAATGGACTCAGTTCCCTAACAGTTTAAACATCTCATATGAGATACTTAGATATCTATACATATTGCTCTGTACCATCATGCTCTTAGAACGGAAATACAAACGAAAGAACAAACCTGTAAAAGCGTCAATCAACCACCAATGATGCTTTGAGACCGTTGAGAGGCATACCAAAGATGGCAACACACAACTTTTAAATGAACTATCTTGTAATAATGTCACGAAAATGCAAACTTTTTTTTTCCACCATTACTTTTACCATTTTTTACACATGAAACAAATTAGAAAACGGAAAGACTTGAGATTAAAAAAAAGGATATCACACACCCAAGGAAACATGATGGAAGGGGAGAAAAACAAGCAAAACGGGAAACTATTTACAGACACCATTTACGTGCGTTGCAAAGGAAGAGATATCCAACTTATTTGGTGAAGCCTCCTTCATTAGTGTTAACTTTCATCTTCTTTCTAACTTGGACGGAGGCTAACGAATACTATAAACCACAACCACTTTACCCCGAACCTGGACTGGATTTTCGCATCTTCGTTTTAACACAAGAGCAATGCAAAATGCAACACTTCTCATCTTGCTTGCGAGTTGTCGTGGGTGTATACGGAGACGAATGAGTCAGCAGCTCCAGCTGCAAGCAGAACCTGGTACGGATGAAAAGTGAGGCAACTCACTGAACCGATCTTCTGTGCCATGAAGGATGGGTAGTAGCGGATTATCCCTAGTTGTTCTCC